CCGGGCTCCCCTCAGCCTTCAAACCATAGGTGGCAGCAACAAGCTCCCAGATCATACGGTCAAATGATTCTTAGGTGCAGTTGGATGGTCTTGAGCCTGGTCAGACCTCAGAGTCCACCTGTCAGAGCCCCTGCAGACTTCACCAATCCTGACCTCCCCAGATCCTCAACCACTGACACCATCTCCATAAAACATCTTAGGCCGATCACACAGCATAAGATCATATCGGTATTCAGAAATATCAAGCTGGGGCCAGTGATAGTACAGCAGGGAGAGAGCTAGCCTTGTACAGGGACATCCAGGGTTCAATACACCCAGCATCCCATATGGTCCCTCTGAGAACTGCCAGGAATATTAGTTCCTGAGTATGAAGCCAGGTATAAACGCTTTACATCACTGGGTGTGACACGAAAACTAAAAAAAAAAAAAAAAAAAAAAAAAAAAAAAAAAAAAAACTGAGCAGCTGAGTATAAATGAGAGTTGACGGGTTCTTTTTAACATTTCCATTACATATATTTTTCATGGGCTGGAGTGACAGCACAGTGAGTAGGGCACTTGCCTTGCACGCGTCGATCCAGGTTCAATTCTTCCCTCTCGGAGAGCCCAGCAAGCTACCGAGAGTATCCCGCCCACACAGCAGAGCCTGGCAAGCTCCCTGTGGCATATACAATATACCAAAAACAGTAACAAGTCTCACAATGGAGATATTACCGGTGCCTGCTCGAGCAAATCAATGAACAGTGCTCAGTGCTACAGTGCTATGTTTTTCATATATGAGTTGTTTTCCACATAGGTAAGACAATGAGGAATCCTAGAGGTAATCATTTTGGCAATGACGGGCCAGAGTGGTAGTTCAGCAGGTAGGGTGTTTGCTTTGCACGTGGCTGACTGGGTTCAATCCCCAGCACCCAGCACCCTCAATGCCCTGAGTCCTGCCAGGAGTGATCCCTGAGCTCAGAATCAGAATTAATCCCTGGGCACCATGGAGTGAGTCCCCATACTCAAATAATTTTAGTAATGTCTTCCAAAATTCTCTTAGAAACAAAGCAGCAGTAGTCTGGGCAAGGACTAGCTGTCTGGTGTGGAAAACGAGCAACTAACTTGCTCAATCTTTTCTCCTTTTGCTATTTGGTTGTTTCTAATCTGCATGTTTCTTCATTCACACTGTCTTTCAACTTCTATTTCTCTCCTGATGACACCCAGTAGATAGCCAGCTCGTGGGTGGTGAAATTGGCCGAAAAGAAACTGAGCTAAGTGCAATATTTCTGAGTGTTTGAGCCACACACAGCAGTGCTCTGGGGCTGCTCTTGGGGTGCTCAGGAGTGCATACGGCTCCAAAGATCCCACCCCGGCCTTCTGCATGCAAAGCACACACTCCCGCTCTCTGAGCTAGCTATGCTAGCTATCTTCCAGCCTGATTTGTTTTTTTAATTTTAAAGCAAACTCTGCGGAAGAGCTGCATTTTTTTCTTGTTCTCAAAAGGATAGGATGGTGAAACCCTTAATCAAAACCTGTTTATTCATTATTTCACCAGGTGGGTGAGATGCAAATGGTGGCAGGGTGGGGCAGGGGGTACTCATGGAGGGAAGTGAACACTGGTGACTGGATCAGTGTTGAAACACTTAATGCCTGAAAGCCAATTACAAATAACATCGTGATTGCATGATGACTAGATTTAAAAAAAAAAAAGTCAACAACTACAAACCTACCTTGTTTAGGTTTACAGATAAGGTGGATAAGATGAAGTGTGCCTTGGGGGACCAACACACATGGGAACTTACTGACCACTTTGGCGCCCACCGACAACCTGCCCTATCTGAAAATGAACTTACTTCCCCATTCTCTTTTTACTATAAAACCACTTCTTTTTTTATTTTTTTTTTACTCTATTTAAACACCAGGGTTTACAAGTTCTTCGTAATACAGTTGTTATAGGCTTTTAAAAACCACTTCTTGCAAACGGGCAAACGAGATGGTTACCGTAAGATGGTTACTGTCCCCCACCCCCAAGCTGCCAGCCTGCTGCTGCCGAGTCAAGCTTTCTCTGCGTTCTCAGCTTCTCCTGTGGCCATAGCTTGAAAACTTCTCAGTTACAGCAGCATCAGCACAGCTGGAGCTGTTAGGAAGTGCAGGTTCTTAGGCCCACCTACTGCTACTGGCTCAGAATTTGCATTTTAACATGTCAAAACTTGCACTGCAACCTGTGTTAATTCGGCCACATCCAAGTGTAAGCTACCAGCAGTATGTGCCAGTGGGATGGGATTCCCAAGTTGCTGTGCAGATAAAAGGTTGAAAAATCACTGCAGGTCAGAAGGGGTGGCAAATAAATTTCAGCTGACAAACCACCCCTCGTTGACTAAAGCCATGACCTGATTCAAAAGTCCTGGAACAATAAAGGTTATAATCCATGAGCATGGCAGATGTGGCATCCGTACTCTGTTTGCAAACCTACAAATTCTATTTACTTTTTTTCCCCACAAATTGTACTTGGTCCCTCCTGAACTTAGAAAGTTATCCACCCTTAGGCCCAGCAAGTAAAATCCCTACTTGAAACTTGGGACAGCAGAGATCCCCACACTTGAAGGCCTCTTCATTAAAGCCATCTTTATTTATTTATTTGTTCATTTATTTGGTTTTTTGGGTCACACCCAGTGCTCAGGGGTTAATTCCTGGCTCTGCACTCAGGAATTACTCCTGGTGGTGCGCAGGGTGGGGAATCACATGGGAAGCGGGGTTCAAATCTGGGTCAGCCACTGCCAGCAAATGCCCTACCCGCTGTACTATCACTCCGGGCCCCATGTCTTTTTTTGTTTGTTGTTTTTTTTGTTTTGAGGCCACACCTAAGGGTGTTCAGGCCTTACTTCTGGCTTTGCACCCAGGAATCATTCCTGACAGCACACAGAGAGGACCATAGGAGATGCTGGGGACTGAACCCGAGTCAGCTATGTGCAAGGCAAATATCCTACCCACTCAAAGCTGTGTCTTTAGATACCTGGAGTAGGTGCCCTACACCTGTAATGAGTCCAGATTAAGTGTTCCCAAGTGATGAGGAGTAAAGACAGGCAGAGTCATGTAGACGAGGGTACTCTGAGCTTCAGTGGGCCTGCAGGTTCCCACTTCACTCTTCAGGGTACTGTACCAACACTTTTCCATATGGAGGTCAATAAGATAGCTAAGAAACTATGAGATTCAAGTCTATAGGACTGTCCCAAGTTCTACAGCCAAACATAAATTCCAGAGGAGCTCCTGAGAGTATTTTACAGGATTGGGTAATAACATGGCATAGACACGCTCATTTTCAGGTGACTCTTATAAAGGACATTGGATAAGTTCAGGAATCTGGGTCATTGAGATCTACCACTAGCCCTTAGGTAGTGGTAACAAAGGGTTAGTTAATGATATGTGTACCTTAAGCTACATATGTGGGTCTATGTAACGGCTCTTACCAAACTATCTGCTAACTACTGTGTCCTATAAAGGACAGGGAGAAAACACACCTCAGAAGCAAGACATCATGCTTCTACCCAAGGCAGTCACTCGGCTCTTTCCATGGGCTCTAAATGATGTTTGAGACAGTGCTCCAGGGGCTGCACCTCTCACCACCTCAGACTTTCTTGATAAGAAAATAAGCCTATAGACTGCTTGCTTAGTTGCACCAAGCATTTCTGATCAACTGTCATCTTGTCTCTACTGTTATAACTTCATCACACTGCCCAAGTCAGTCTTAAACAAAGGACAGATGTTCTTGTTGAAATTCTGGGTAATTCTCCTCACTTGATCTCAAGCCTTTTGCCCAGCCTGCCTGCAGATGGAAGTGATGTATGGGTGATAGAAAATGGTAAACTTTGAGATTCCATTCTTGAAATAATACTGGCATAAAAACTTCAAAAAGAAAAATTTGATCAGAAACATGAAAAACTACATTTGAGGAAAAAAACAAGTAATGGTTTACATTTAATTGAGTTGATTTTCATCATAAGTGAAGTACAGTGAGAAGCTTTGAGAGGAAGTAAAAGCCTAAACCCATGCTTGGGAGGATGGATGATAAAACACCGTAAGTAATGATGTCAGGATTAAGTGTTAATAGGAACTTCAAAGAGAAACAAATATATATTTCAAAAATTTTCCTCACAAACAAGTTGGGGGAGCCCTAGAAGTATGAGTGATCCTACCTTTTCTAGTGGTGAGAAACATGAAATATGCTGGTTATTAGGACCCTCGACATTAAGAGACTTAATAAAGAATCTTTATATTCATGGGAAGAAACCAAGCCTCTCTCTGGAGAACAAAGAACACGTGTAAATATACTGTCTATCAAAAACATCTCTCTTTCAGTTACTTGGTTGTCCTCAAGGAATTCCTAAATTTCACAATTTGTGAGGATGTATAGGACAGTAAATGGTGGAGCAGGAAAACATGGATTGAGAGATTTAAAACATACCCAAATGTATAGTTTTCAAATTATTTTCCATGGTAGAAAGCTGATTCACAAATAAGATACAAATATTTATTAAAACTCCTACTTTGCTAGACGTAAAAGATAAAAAGTTCAAGACACAGACTCTACTCTCAGGAGGCATGCAATTTAACTATGGAATTTAAACAGAAAATGAACATTGTGTGTGTGTGTGTGTGTGTGTGTGTGTGTGTGTGTGTGTGTGTACAAATGGAATTACAAAGACCAAAACACACGTACACACACATTCTCTCTCTCTCCCTCTCTCTCTCTCTCTCTCTCTCTCTCTCTCTCTCTCTCTCTCTCTCTCTCTCTCTCTCTCTCCTAAAAGGAGATAAGACCTCAGAGATAGCATAGGTATTAAGGCACTTGCCTTCCACTTGACTGACCCAAATTTGATCCCTGGTCATTCCTTGAGGTGACTCCAGAACACAGAGCCAGGACCAAGTGCTGAGCACCACCAGATGTAGTCCAAAAAAACAAAACAAACAGAGTGTACTAGAGGTAGGATTTTTAAGCGATCTTCAACAAAGGTTGGAGTGGATAGAGGAGCATACTTATTTCTAGAATTTAAAAAATAATATATTTTTATTTTCAATAGAAATAGTATAGAAATAGAAATATATTTCTATTTTCAGATAAAAGAATTTTTTTTATGTAATACACTGATTATTCTTCATCCCGCTCATTGTAACATGTATAGTCAAATATACTTAATGAAGAATCAAGCCAGCAATATCATGGAAAAAGAATCTCTCTGAGGTTATTATTACCAGGAGTGACAAGTTATTATAACATTTTAATTATGTAATTATTAAAAATTACTGTTAGGGCAATGACGCCTTTCAATTAAATAAGTAAACTTGCTGAAATGAAGAAAAATTTCCAGTATAAGTGGGATGAAACTGATAAATCAGGTTTTTACTCTCTTCAGCAGGAGATGGAAAATGATGATTATTTTTCCGAGCTGCAAGAGAAAAAGTTAATTTTTCAAAAAATGCAATATTTTATTTTTAAAAAGATAAAGTTGTCAAAATGCTACCTTAGAACATTTCTTCCTGTGATGAGCATTATTAAATGGGAAAATAGCAGAAAAAAAAAAAGAAGAGAAATGCCTTATAAAATTCACTCTCAATAAAGCATCATGTAGTTTGGAATGTTTACCTCTTGTAAGAGCAGCTATATTAGCCCTGCACCAGATCTTGGAGCTTGCTCCCCCATTAATTCAAACACTACGTGTAGGACTTGATACAGGATGACAATGTAAACAGAGCAACTTCCTGACATATAGTCTAGTCTGTTAACCAGGAAGACTCATATATTAAAATAATTGTAGAGTTTATCCTTTGAAATGTTTCAGTAGTAAAGGGGATGGAGAGAATGGCAAAGCTGGGCAAATGGAGAAGGGAGTATTTCCCACAAATAAAGCATTAAAAATGAAAAATGAGGCAAAAAATTCAGCATTGCTGAAATTTCGTTCTGAAAGGATGTAATCTCAGCTGCTCCTTAAAGTTAAAAAAAAAACTTTTATGGCATTTTTAGAAAAGATATTGGAAAAGAAAAAACAAATATGGTCATATTGTACAGTGGGTAGAGTGCTTGCCTTGCATGATTGACCCCAGTTCGATCCCCATCACTCCATAAGGTCCCCTAAGCACTGCCAGGAGTGATCCCTGAGCATGAGCACACAGTCAGGAGTAAATCCTGAGCACTGCTGGGTGTGATCCCAAAACAAAACCAAGGGAAAGACCAAATAAATAGCACTAGCCTGTGATAGTCATGCAGCCAACTATTCTGTGTTCTCATTATTCCCACAAGCATGAAATGAAAATATTTACTGGGCTGATAATGCATCTGGGAGTATCTTTTTCCCTTTAACTGTTTTTTTTAAATATAACTATTCAACTAAATCTAACTTTTTAATTGAAATATTACTGACATACAACATCATTAGGGTTTCAGGTGTTCATTATAAGAAATTTGTATATGTAACAATCTCTTTACCAACCTTTCTTGGCAACTTTTACATTTGCAATGCTCCATTACTGATTATAATAATCATGTTATATACATCATTTGAACACATTCTAGACTAATGTGAATTCAGGAGAACACTTAATGTTTCAGGATGAGCAAGAAAACCCACACAAATTAGACTAAGTATAGAGAGAGGATGCAGACAAGGTTCACTGAAATATCAAATAACCTTGCCTAAACAGATTTATGCCCTATCCCCGGCTAGTTATGTTTGTCACTATCTTATAATTGTATCATGCATTTTAAGGCAAGCAACCACAACCAGATTCCCAGTTTTATCCACAAACCTAACACTGCATGAAAAACCTATTTTCATCAAGAACAGATGGGTTGAACTTACTTTCTCTAATGCGTTGATATGCAAAAGAAGGCCTTACTTAAAATTACATAAGTATCTACCTAACTTAGATAATTGTCTTCAAAAAATACCTAATTCTCAGAAAATGGTATAATTAAAATGGTGTCTCTAAAAAAGATATGCAATGAAGGAGATTTTTTTTAATTAAGAATAAAAGAGAATTAAACATACTTTATGTAGTTGTTCAGAAATTCAACAATTAACTGAAAAAATTATACTGGTTCTGAATACCTAATATTTCAGTTCCAGGGCTTTCATGTTATTAAAAAAAAACTGTTGTTTTGGGGCCACATCCAGCAATCCTCAGGGGTTACTGCTGGCTATACACATGGTGATCAGGGGGCCATGCGGGATGCTGAAGATCAAACCCAGGTCAGTTTTGTGCAAGGCAAGTGCCCTATCTGCTGTGCCATTGCTCCAGCCCTCAGAATTTTTAAGTTCAATCTATAGGACACTGATAAAGCAAGAATATTCAAAATTTCAGATGAAGGAAATTTCCTTTGAAATTACACTAAAATGGTAAAACAATAAACCCACATTACCTTCAGAAACAAAGAACTCTGCTAAATAAAATGCCGCCTTCACAGCGTTGGGTGCATGACTAATGCCGTCTAATTTCTTCCACTCGTAAGGTGGTTTCTCTGGATGCCACTGAACACCATATATTGGATAATGAAACGCTACATAAAAAAATCGAACTAGTTAGGATTAAGTGAGAAACAGGACAAGAGATGTTCCTTCCATTGTATTTAATGGCCTATGTAAAATGTTTTTTTATAGCCCAAAGGAAAATCATGTACATTCTTCACATGACACACAAAAAGAATTCTGTTTCAGTCAATGGACAACTTACAATAAACTTTCACAAATATTTACGATTGTATGGTGTTATTTGCTTTACTAGTTAATGAATAAAATAGTTAAGTCTGAAAATATCCCCAACTGGGAAGTCTAAAGCAGATCAAATTAGTGACACAAGTTTCTATGAGGACAGGTCCCTATACCATCTTCTGCACACATGTTCAACCCCCATTTACAATGCCAGCACTGTGTGTCTTTTTATGTAAGTCCACCATAACCCCTGACTCAGCCTACCCCCGTGCCTCTCTGTCTGCAGGTGCTCATGAATCAGGGTGAGAAGTTTTTAAGGCTGTTCTAAAGGCTTGGTTTGAGAACAGGCAGTGACATCATTAGAAAATTACATATTAATATCCCTAATGAACATAAATGCAAAGATTTTCAACAAAATCTTAGTGAGCCACATCCAACAATATACTGAAAGGATCATATGGCCACAATCAAGTGGGATTTATTCCAGGGACACTGTCACTGTCACTGTCCTCCCATTGTTCATTGATTTGCTCGAGCGGGCCCAGTAACATCTCCATTTTTTTGAGACTTGTTGTTACTGTGTTTGGCATATTGAATATGTCACGGGTAGCTTGCCTGGCTTTGCTGTGCAGGTGAGATACTCTCAGTAGCTTGCCCGGCTCTCCGAGAGGGGCAGAGGAATCGAATCCGACTCAGCCGGGCTGGCTGCACGCAAGGTAAACGCCCTACCGCTGTGCTATCGCTCTAGCCCGCCAGGGACACAAGGATGTTTAATACAAACAAGACAATCAGTATGATAAACCATACCAATACATGACCAAAAAAAGACAAAAAATATCATATGATTATGTTTATAGACACACAGAGAGCATCTGACAAACTCCAGCATGTGATTAAAAACTCTCAACATACTTAAAATAGAAGGAGCTTTCTGCAATTTACAGTAAGCCTGTAGCTAGTCATACTCAATGGTGAAAACCTGAAAGCCTTTCCTCTAAGATCAAGCACAAGTCAAGGATGCCCACTCTCACCACTATTATTTACATACAATTAAAAGTGTTTGCCACATGCAACAAAAAGATTATTAGGATATCCAGACTGAAAAAAAGGAAGTCAAATTACAGCTATTTTCAGATGATCACACATTATATTTAGAAACCTAAAGTTTCTACATTCCTAGAAACAATAAACTTACAAAATAAAGTGGTAGGTTACAATGTCAATATTCAGAATTTGTGGGGCTGTAGCGATAGCACAGCCGGTAGGGTGTTTGTCTTGCACACGGCTGACCCGGGTTCGATTCCCAGCATCCCATATGGTCCCCCGAGCACCACCAGGAGTGATTCCTGAGTGCAGAGCGAGGAGTAACCCCCCTGTGCATCTCTGGGTGTGACCCAGAAAAGCAAAAAAAAAAAAGAATTTGTGACATTTCTATATGCAAACAGTGAAGTAGGAGAGAATTTTTTTTTAATTCTATTCAGTTGTTTCCACAAAATTTAAGAACCTGAGTATCAGTAAAGGAGGTAAAACTTCTACAAAAGAAAACTAAAGACTTCTGTTTAAAAAAAGAAAAGAGAGAAAAGGGCCAGAACAATAGTACACCGCCACGTAGGGTGCCTGGACCCAGGTTCGATCCCCAGCATCCCATATGGTCCCCCAAGCACAGCCAGGAATAATTCCTGAGTACAGAGCACTACTGGGTGTGGCCCAAAGCAAACAAACCAAAAAAGAAAAAAAAGAAACAGAAGGAAAAAAGGAAATTAAAACGCATTCCTCTGTTCATAGATTGGAAGAATTAACATTGCTAAAATGACAGCCCTCAAGGTACTATACGTATTTCAAAGCAATCCCCATAAAATGAGAAAATAAAATTAAGAAAAAGATCAAGGGACAAAAGCCAACAGAACCTGCACATTGGCCTACAGAACGTAGTTTACCAAATTGGGATAGAAAGGGGAGATGGGGGAGATGGAATATTGGGAAACTGGACAGGAACACTGACCCAGTGGTCACAGGTGTGGTATTGGGACACTATGCATTAAACTCTATCTTTAACTGTACTGTAAAATACAGTGCCTTGGACAAAAATTGCTGAGAAAAAAAAATTCCCATGGAATTTTTTAAGGACATGGATCAAACACTGTTAAAACTTATATGGAGAAATTTATATGGGCTGGTGAGATAGCACAGTGGGTGGGGCATTTGCCTTGCATGCTGCTGACCCAGGTTCGATTCCTCTGCCCCTCTCGGAGAGCCCAGTAAGCTACCGAGAATATCCCACCCGCACAGCAGAGCCTGACAAGCTCCCCGTGGTGTATTTGATATGCCAAAAACAGTAACAAGAAGTCTCACAATGGAGACTTTACTGGTGCCTGCTCGAGCAAATCGATGAACAACAGGCAGTGCTACAGTGCTATGGAGAAATAAAACCCCCTCAATAGCCAAAGCAGACCTGGGGAAAAGAAAGACAGGAGGCTTTTCTTTGTCCAAGTTTAATTATACTATAAAGCTGCTGTACTAAAGATTGGGCTGGAGCAATAGCACAGCAGTAGGGTGTTTGCCTTGCACGCAGCCAACATGGTCAACCCAAGTTCGATTCCTCCACCCCTCTCGGAGAGCCCAGCAAGTTACCGAGAGTATCTCGCCCACACAGCAGAGCCTGGCAAGCTACCCATGATGTATTCGATATGCCAAACACAGTAACAACAAAGTCTCCAATGGAGACGTTACTGGGCCCGCCCGAGCAAATTGATGAACAATGGGAGGACAGTGACAGTGACAGTGACAGTACTGAAAATTGCATGGAATTGTAATATAGTCTGCCTAGACTTTCAGGCCAATGGATTAGAATTGAGGGTCTATAGATAAATTATCATCTATACAAATAAATAATCTTCAACAGAGGATCTAGGTCTATCAGGTAGAGCGAGGAGAATCTCTTCAACAAATTATGCTGAAATAAAAACAGGTTAGCCACATGCAACAATTAAAAAAGGAACTTGAACCCTTATCTTATGTTACACAGAAAAGTTAATTCAAAATGGATTAAAGACTTTGATATCTAAAATAAACAAATGGGAATACACCAGATGATCACTTGATCACTTGATTTCCCGTTAATCGAGCAGACGCCAGTACCGTCTCTATTGTGTCCCTGTCGCGTGCTAGTGTAGCCCAATGGCATCGTTCACTCTAGGAACACAAAGAGCCTCAAACCGATTGTTCATGATCTTGATGAAGAAGTCTGACCATCTGGTAGGTCTGGTAGGTGGTCCACTACCTCCACTACCCAGCCGCTGCCACACTCCAGGACTATTTCTGGACCCGCGCAGCTGCTTTGCGGCCACGCGGCACATTATAAGACACTAAATACCCATCTTCCAGAATTGCTGTACCATATTTGATAGTATATTTGATAATTCAAATATGGTAACACCTACAAGGGCGATTATAGGTCGTCCCAAAAGCCTCTATTCCTCTCGGAAAGCCTGGCAAGCTACCAAGAGTATTCTGCCCACACGGCAGAGCCTCGCAAGCTATCTGTTGTGTATTTGATATGCCAAAACCAGTAATTACACCAGATGAAGAACAAAAGAAAATCAAGCTATAATAAAAAGACAACCGACTGGACAGGAGAAAATATCTCACACAACACATCAGACAAAACATTAATATCCAAGACCTAGAAAGCACTCACAAATTTCAATAAAAAAATAAAAAATTCCAACAACTCCACTCAGAAATAGAGAGAGGAGATGAACAGACACTTCTCCAAAGAAGACATCCAGATGGCCAATAAGCACATGAAAAAGTGCTCATTGTCACTTGTGATTAGGGAAATGCAAATCAAAAAAACACTGATATATGATCTGGTGCCAGTGAGACTCGCATATATCCAAAAGTGTGGAAACAGGTAGTGTGGGCATGGTTGTGGTGAGAAAGCAACCCTCATTTACTGTTGTGAGAATATCACCTAGTTCAACCTCTATGGAAATTAATATGACGATGTCTCAAAAAAAAATAGGAACAGAATTCCCGTATGATACAGCGATACCATTTCTTGGCATCTAGCTCCAAAATACAAAAATATTAATTTGAAAGGATATATGCACACCTATATTTATTGTAGTACTTATCACAACAACAAGATATGGCAAAAAACAAATGCCTGATAACAGATGAATGGATCAAGAAGTTGTGGTATATATACACAATAGAATATTATACAGCTCTAAGAAAAGACAAAAGTATGCAATTTGCCATGTAATGAATGGAAACAGAGAATATCATGCTGAGTAAAGCCAGTCAGAAGGTAAGATATAGGTACAGGATGTTTGTTCTTATACGTGGGACTTAAAAATACACAGCAAGGTCGAAACAAAGTGCCAAAGGCAAGAGAATGGGAGAACTGATTCACAGAACCAAGTTTGGATGGAGGAAGAGGAGTGTTTAAAGAGAGGGCATCTGGGGACCTTGGGAGATGAAGGAAGATAACTTTGGTGATGGGTGTGTTACTGGCATTCTGTACACATGAAACCACCACTAACCATCATTCTGGTTGTTTGGCCAAGAATGGAATCTGCCAGGGTGTGGTATTTTTACATTTGGAGGTGATGCGAAGAAGTGGTATTGCGATGTCATATGGGAATTCTATTCCTATTTTTTTGAGAGATCTCCATACTCAATTCCATCGATGTTGAACCCCAAGTACTATCGGATAAGCTCCTTACCACCTCCAAAAATAATAAGACCGAGATACCACCCTCACTTCCTTAGTTTCAAAATTCCAAACAGGTAATTCTTGCGGTTTGCAGGCAGAATCCTAGTTGAATTTCGAGTTCTCCTGTGTGTTGAGGATATACTGACAGCCTTTCAGGTCTGCCTCCAATGTTACTCTTCATGTATGGGGGTTTTCTGCTTCATCCCAAATTCTCTTGATTAGAAATGGAAGCAGAAAATCTGGTGGTTTTTGTCCTGGGCAGCCTTATATTCCTGCCACTTTATCAATATATTTACAAAGACGATTTTTCCAAATGTCAATTCTATTTTTTTATATTGTTCAAAAATAACTGGCAGGGTAATGTGTTCTATTTCTAAGAATAATGGTTACAAAAACCTTGAAATTTCTCAGTGTGAGGAGTGTCGTGACTTCCTCCATTCACTTCCTCATCTACTCTCACTTTACTCCCCGCTTAACTTCATGACCCTATTCTCAAAGATAACCCAGGAAAACCAGAACTGATTTGAACATGAACAAAATCTACTTCTTGGCTCCAAAAATTCTCTAACTTCCATCCTCAGGCATCAAAGTAAGAATTATATTCATAAGGAAAAGAATTATGAAATTCCAAATTAGTAAATGACTAGTATGTGAAATAAAGAGTAGCTGTGAAATGATACATACCTTCCATTGTTGAAATAAATTGTACCTTGCCATCTGAATTTGTAGTCAATACATTATAAAACTTGCTTAACTTTTCATTCTTAGAAAAATTCTAGAGAACAAAAAGAAAACAAAATTACTACTTCTGTAGTTAACTGAATATATAAATTAAATTTTGTAATTAATGTGATACCTTCAACGAGAGACTCCACTTGTGGAAATTTGCTGTCAAAGGCTCCACTGCTAATGATAGCAATAATTCAGCAGGAAAATTCTCAAACATTCTGCTCTGCAATATAGCTAAAATAATTTAAGCACAAGAGGAATAATTGAAACACAAAAATATTACAGGTGTACAGTCAAAGAAGGCATTATTAAAACATAACTAAAATGTCTAATTGGTAAATAAAACATATCCACAGAAGTACTTCAGTCAAGCATAAAATAATTTTAGTATTAATTAACAAATTAAATATATTCTATACCTAAGTACTTTTCTAAAATTTTAACACAAGAAGCGCAAATCTTTGTTGTTTTTTTGTATTGAGGTCACACCCAGCAGTGCTCAGGTCTTACTACTCCTGGCTCTGTGCTCAGGGGACCATATGAGGTGCCAGGTATAAAACCCAGGTTGGCAATGTGCAAAGCTCCCTACCTGCCATACAATCTCTCTAGTCCCCAAAACCTAAAATTCTTGTGATAAAAACCACTAGGCTAGCTGAAAAATAAGCAGAAAATTTGGGGGAGGTTGGGGATTGCAAAGAACCAAACTCAGGGTCTCACATGTGTGAAGCATACTCTAAGCCACTCAGCTAATTCCTGGTCTCTACGCAAAGACTCTTACATTGAATTCTCTAGAAAATGAGGATTCTTTGTTTGAGTTCTCTAGCTATAAACAACAGGCTGTATTTTCCACATGTACGTGTGTTTAGTTTCTTAGGAAAGGATCAAAAACTTACAATATATTTTCAAAAGTATATAAGACTTAAAAGGTCAAAAATACTAGCAATGTAGAAAAAATACTGACTAGGCCAGAAAATTACTCCTCATAAAGATCCAAAAGATAAAAAAAAATTATATTTTTTTAAAAAAAAACAATATATCTCACTGAAAGCTTTGGAGTACATTGAACTTTGGTGCCACATGTAGACAGGTGGATTCAACGGCCTGCAAAAGTATAATATATCCTGATGGTGGTTGGTGTCCTTCTGTCAGTCCTTAAATGAAGCCCCTTAATCAAACTGTTGACAGCTTCTATGAGACTCAACACTACAGACAATTCAGTATTTTATTCCAGTGATTTTATTCCTTTTCTGAAAACTGGGTAAGAAAAAGTAAAACTTTTTTTTACCACACACAACCAAAATAGACAGCTAATGCATACTCTCCCAAAGGTTCTTGCCAAGATTAAGACAGCTAATGTGACAAAAAGTTTTGAAACATACACATGGTACATTCTATAGATTTTACATTTAACAAAAATTACTCGGCAACCCAAATCTTCTTGAGATCATAGTTTGGTAGCATTCAAGTCAGAGGTTTCCAATATCAAGCAACCTCATGAACCATTATCTACTTAAAAATACATAATAAATTTGTTCCTCGTCCAAGATTCCTAACAGGGAGCTTCTAAAGCCCTTGGAATTTCCCAAGTGTTAAAACTGTATTTATAAGCCAATGAGGTGAATAAGGTGGGCCCCCAGATAGCTAAAGGCTGGTCATCCAAAAGACTATGATTACAACACAGGATTTTAGAGACATTGGAGGTTGAGTTCAATCCCATAAAACTAATGACTGAACCCTATCTTCACAAGGAAGCCCCAATAAAACCTTTGAACACTCAAGCTAATTGGAACGTCCTTGCTGATACACAAGCAAGCAATGTGTCCTGGGGTTCAACAGGAAACTAGTGGGGAAAATCTGTATTCTTTCCAAGATATTGTCCTATGTGCACCTTTTCCAATAAAAATTTCATCACAACAAGCACAGAGCCTTCCTGAATTGTGAGTCATTCCTGGGAGTTAGTAAAGGAGGTAGGAATCATGGGGCTTCCCAGTTTGTACACGGTCAGAGTACATGGGGGCAGAGAATCATGACTTATGGCTGCCCTCTGAAATTAGACCAGTAGTTACTGAAATGACTTAGGGTGACCCTGACAGTTTCATAGACAGTGCCATAACCGAGTTGCAGTCCACCCTAGCTAGTGTTGAAACAGATTACTTAGTCAAGAAAAACAAGTTTACCCTAATAATTATAACTAACATTTATGATGGTTATATAGAGAGTGCTTAGTATAGTACTTAAAAACTATCTTACTTGATGCTTAAACCAATCCTAAGTAGTAGACCCTTTAAAAAAAATCAGCAAATTAAATCAGTCAGAGAGGGTAAACGATATTCCAAGGCAAAGTGACAAAGCTGGGGCTTAAAAACAGTTCCCTGGGGCTGGAGCGATAGTCCAGCAGATAGGGCATTTGCCTTGCATCCAGCCAACCCAGGTTCAATTCCCAGTATCCCATATATAATCCCGAGCCCACCAGGATTGATCCCTGAGTGCAGAGCTAGGAGAAAGCCTGAGTAGCACTGGGTGTGGCCCCAAAATACAAAAAAAAAAAAAAGTCCTATTTTAAGTCATGCATGATCCTGATATCACTAAAAGCAATGAACTTTCATAATTTCTTAGCCATCCTCACAACTAGGTATAAAGTAATCACTCACACATTTAGTCTGTGAAATTCAATTTAAAAATCAACAAATATATGAGAACATTTTGCTTTGATACTTTCTTGCTCATCCTGCCCTGTTAACACTTCCTAATGTGCTGAAAATTCTTACCTTCGGTGAAGTTCAGCGGCAGTTTCAACCCAGTAGTATTTGTGGGAGTTAATAAGAACTCTCCACTCGTCAGAAATGAAAGCTCTTCGAATCCAAGACACGTGCCCCACACAGGAAAATAGTCTCCATCATCAAAACTCTTTGCAGAATAAAAGAGAAAACCAAGTATATTAAAACTTTTCAAAATGAAAATTATATATTTGCCTTGTCCTTATAAGGCAAGCACTGAAGGGATACATGCATTTCTAAAGTATTTCCTAGAGACTAACTAGTAAGCTATTACTTTATCCTTAGACAAAATCACAAATAATTCCATTTTAATCAACCAAACTATCCAACATCAATTATGCTAGGGAAATAAAAAAGGGCAATTTCCAATTAACAACCAAGCTATTCAAGTAGCAATTAGGGACTGTAAGTATCAAAGATAATGTGAGATAGATGTTTCTTTATACATCATCTACAAATCTTAACACTTTAAAGGATTGTCTAGTTTAAAATATACTCTTGTTCCACTGTATCTGAATTTATGGTAATAGCAACATTATACTATATTGAGATAATTAGATTTAAAATAGGTGAAAGCTATGATCTGGAAGGAAAGGAATAATCAGGAATAGGAATAAAAGACTAAGCAAAAGTAAAATAACTTTCACAGAGTAAAAGTTATCAATGACTAAAGTGGAAATGCACTGGATTTCTTCAAAGGGAGTCACAACAACTCACACAAGTTGAGTAAGGTATTCTTCTAGTGACTGCATTTTCTGCTTATCTAAAGATTAAAATCACATGTGCTGACAGTTATGAAATTAGGTTTTGTAAATTTTCTAGAGCAATGACAGAATGTAAAATATAACTCCCATAAGTCACTCATTTCAGTTTAAATGAAAAAATTACTTGGAGGAAGATTCGTCACTGAGAAAAATATAATTTCTATTCCATGGTAGGATTTGGGGGGTGGGAGGGGACACAGACACAGTGAAACTCAAAGAAAGAATTAGGTCCAGCCGATGATGCTCAAGGGCTCCCTGCCCAGAAGTGGCCCCTAGCAGTGCTCAGGGGACCCTATATGGGGTCACGGATTGAGCTAGGGTTGGCTACTGGTTACATATGTCTCTCCACGCATGATTACTTTATAATATATCTATTTCCTAAGTGCATCACTAAAATTTCAATTTTGTTGACTAGTTTCTGTAAAAAGGTATCCCCTGAGCATGTCACTGTCACTGTCCTCCCATTGTTCATCGACTTGCTTGAGTGGGCACCAGTAACGTCTCTATTGTGAGACTTGTTACTGTTTTTGGCATATCGAATAGTCATGGGTAGCTTGCCAGGCTTTGCGGTCCAGGCACGATACTCTCGGTGGCTTGCAGGGTTCTCCGAGAGGGGTGGAAGAATTGATCCAGGGTCAGCCTGGGTCGGCCGCATGCAAGGCAAACACTCTACCTGCTGTGCTATCGCTCCAGCCCACTGAGCATGTACCAAGTACATAGGACCATATGCTCTGAAATGGTGTTAAAATCACAGCATCTGGTGAGATATGAACAACTACCTTTACAGCACTGTCTTCTAAAAGAAAAGCTCCTTCCTTGAGGATATGGACCCTGCCCTATTACAGAGCTGGAGCCAATTAAATGTTTAAGCAATTCCACACAAAATACTCCAAAAGTTTAAAAGGAAACAGAATACCATTTTCAGCTGAAGTAGGTAGGGAAACCTCTACCAAAAAAAAAAAAAGCAGTATTTTACACTTGATGGAGTGAAGACATGAATTAAGAACGAGCAGAAGCAGCCCAAACCTACTGGGGGGTGGGGGGGGGGGAAGAGGCTCTGCTGCAATAGAGTAACCCTTGCCCTAACTGCCTTCATAAGAGTAGGCTGGCAAGGTGAACTGTGGACACATTCTGAGTTTTGATCAAATCTAAGTAACCTGTATAGTCTTTTATACAGATGACTTAGCCTAACCACTAAGTTTTCAAATAAGTATGGTCAAAAGTAGTTCTTTATGAGAATATTAGGAAAGGCTTTTTTTTCCAAGCCCATGTCTCTGGAATCTCTCTCTTCTCCTCTCCTCTCCCCTCCCTCCCACCCTACCTCTCTCCTCTCTCTTTCCCTCCCTCTTCTCCTCTCTCCTCTCCCCCTCTCTCTCTCTTCTTCCTCTCTCCTCTCCCCTCCCTCCCTCTGTCTGTCTGTCTGTCTGTCTCTCTCTCTCTCTCTGCTTTTTCTGTCTCTAGTGAGTATTCTCTCTTGAAACCCATGTTCTCTCATTTTATCTCCATATGAAAAGGAGGAAAGGAGGGAGGGAGGGAGGGAGGGAGGGGAGGGAAGGGGAGGGGAGGGAGGACTGAAGAGAGGCAAGAGGGGGAATATTAGCAATAATCATTATAAAATTGCTGGTAACAGTTCAAGAAAGAAATAAGAAATGTCCAAGCAATAAGAGAAAGTCTGGTGTAATTTGACACTTAACAAAAGAGCCAAAAGGTCCTGTGTTGTAACAGTATGAAATCCAAGTATCTACATAGAAAGACCAAAAATTGGGTAAGTCAGGACAAAGAGCAGATTCGAGAGAAGATGAGAATTAACAGCACAGGACTGATGCACAGTACACCTACCAGCTTACTAAGCCACTATAAAAGCCTGGCTGATGCTCATGAACATGCTAGAGGGAACCAGTGACCACAGCACTAAAGGTTCTCTACAAATGGATTTCAATGAAGCACACAGGGAATGAACATGAGCTGTCACTGGCTGCTGAAGAGGTGATGAGATCATGGTAATTATGAAGGAAGTACACCATCCACTGAAAAGATTATTATTCTCATGGAACATCACAAAAACTCATCTGCAAAAATAATAACTGAGATTTTACCTCTATGGCAAGCTTGTAAAATATTTTGGACACGTGAGAGTAATTTGACCTCTTGATGTTAGCACCTCCTCCGGGGAAAAGGATCCTGAAACAATACAAAATTGTTTGGGATCACATTTCAAGCCCTTCTCCAGCCACAGAAAAGAACTTTTGTACTGTAAGATGTTATCCTTATTATGTAAACTGTAAGAACTTTTGAACGTGAATTCGGGGCAGGTGCAATAGAACAGTGAGTAGAGAGCTTGCCATGCATGTGGCAGACCTGAGTTCAATCCCCAGGATGCCATATGGTCCCTTGAAGCCCACCAGGAGTGATCCCTGAGCACAGAGCCAGGTGTGTGTGTGTGTGTGTGTGTGTGTGTGTGTCTATGTCTGGGGGGGAGCAAAAACCAAAGCAAGCAGTATGATATGCCATTCTAAGTGACATCTAAATACTGAAGACATGCATTAAACACTTTTCTCAAAGTGGGCAACACCACCTCCTGAGGGTACCAGAACAATCCTGGGAGTGCAACTAGAGAAGGGCCAAGCAATTCTCTGGGCTCACCCCTGGCTCTGTGCTCAGGGATTACTCCTGGTGAGACCATATGAGGTACTGGGGATTGCACCCAGTTTGACTGCATGCACCCTACCCATTGTACAGTCTCTTTGCCCCCCAACACCCCGAGTAATCTTTTTCTGAAGGAGGGGGGGTCCCTCAGTGGGCCAAGTAAGTCTGGCAATCTCTGCATTAAAAAAAAAGTTAAGTCAAGCATTAAAATTATCTACTAATACTTGTTTCTAATTTGCCTTCTCTCTGCAATACAAACTTTTTTGTCTCTCAATAAAAATAATTCAAATTAAAAAACTCAGAAAACTAGAGTTACAGCACCACCATTTCACAGAAAAACGCATTACAGATATTTGGACTTTTTGCAAAATCTGACTTTTACTGGGGGGAGAGGGGTACTAGTCCTGACTGTGTTCTCAAAAGTGACCCCCTAGCAGTGGTCAGGGGACCATATGTGGTACAGGGAATTCAAACCAGACCTGGAAGAATGCAAGGTAAATGCCTAACTTCCTTCACTCTCCATCCAAAATTCAAACTCTTTTGATCTCATATACTATATCAAAATGATGCTAGTAACTTACCCATTAATGGATTTGAAAATCTTTTCATACTCGTCCTTCATAAGATCAATTCTGAAAACAATACATACAGTTAGCAAACATTTCCCAAACTCAAGAACAAGTCTTCAAATGAAATTATAAGGTTAACTTTTAAAATTTAGATAAGCGACTCACCATAGCCATGCTGCCAGACCCCTCACCAGGCTGTTTCATTCAGGGCACGGGGGGAGGGGGGTCCTCCCCGCCCCAATGGACCCACCCTGGTCAGCCAAAAACCTCCAGAACTCAACCTGTCATGCTCACAGCCTCTCTCCACATGCTCAGACAAGCCTCATCCATGAGTGAATCAACAGAAAACCCAGGTATGCGGGACTTGTGACTGAAAACTCCAGGTTCAACAGAACCAGGAATGAGTGACCTCTCCCCATCCTCCCTCTGTTTCTAGCAACTTGGCAGTCACACCCACAAGCCACCTCCCACTGGTACTAGGTAATCTCAACAGCCATGATACAGAGACTCATTATAAAACTCTCAGAAGAGAGCATAAAACGACTCACCATAGCCATGTTGCTGGACCCCATGCCAGGCAGTCTCATTCCGGGAACCCTGGAGCGGGGTTGGGTGAGTTCCCCTCCCTTTCCCAAGGGACCCAGCCCTGGCAACCAAAAACCTCCAGAACTCAACCACCACCATGCTCACGGCCACTCTCCACAAGCTCGGGTTGAGCCTCACCCACGAGTAAGCCTATCCCTGGACATCTCATACCTCGTACCACTCATACTCCAAGAGCAGCACACCACACTTGATGGGGTTTAAAGTAGAAGTCTAACAATCTTAGAGGGAAATAAATTCTTACAGATAGATAGATAGATAGATAGATAGACAGACAGACAGAGGCACACAAGCTCAACCTTTAACAACATGTTTGTGATCTCTAATAGAAGGACTTAATGCCTCCTGGGTAAAATACAATAATCTTCACACTTTCCTTTAAGGAAACTTTTTTGGAGCATTTTCAGCAGTTTATTCATAACAATACAAAATAAATTATTTTGGTTCTGCTTTGGAGCAAAGGTTGGGGTTCGGGATGGAAACATCCAAAACATGGTGGTGGAAAGGTGTAATGGTGGCTGGATTGGTGTTCAAATATTAAATGTAATCAAGTACTGTGAACTTCTTTATAAAAATAAAATTAAATTAAAAAATAAATTACATGAAATTCTGATAAGGGGGCTGGAACAATAGTACAGTGGGTAGGGGAGTTTGTCTTGCATGAGGTCAACCTGGGTTCGATCCCCAACATCTAATATGGTCCCCTGAGCACTGCCAGGAGTGATTCTTGAGCGCAGAGTCAGGAGTAACCCACTGGGTGTGACCCAAAAACAAAAACCCAACCAAAAATATTCAGATGAAAAATAATCTCAAATACTAGACAATATTAACTCCCTACCTTTCCAGAGGTGTGTTTTTCAACTTTCATAATAGCCACAAATTTATATCCAAGATTATCCAAGATAAAGATAGTAGTTTTATGAGAACGCTAAATAAATTGATAAACATGCCTCTCTACAAGTAGCTCTGGCAAATAAAAATAATAGTGACAGAACTCAAGCCTCTATGTCATCTCCCTTACCACCAAGGGCATAGATCTGAGGACCCATCACATATCCAGAAGTCAAGAGTTCAGATGTGTAAAGAGACAGCAAGCAGATCACTACAGCCTGCACTAATTTACCCAGGTAATTATTCTGAAGCACTCTCTCTCCAACATCTGATAAGGGCCTCTTAACAACTCACTGCTGGATGATTAACTTCCCTTCTCATGAGAAAACCAATGAATTTAATTTGTGACAAGTGGCTATGCAACCTTTAATTAAGCCATAATAAGACTTGTTTGTTCTAAAAGTTGAACAAAATAAAAGAACAAATAATGAACAGATCCTGTTTATCAAAGTCCTGTGACTCCCACACTGACGGTCAATCTTCTGGTAGAATAACAAAGCGTAAATGCCATTATATCCCACCACAATGAAGACCTATAATTAAATGTTGACTAGAGTCCACTTTTGCCCCAGGAAAAAGTTTCAGAGAGTGTTTAGATGCAACTTCCATTAGTAAGTCGATACCTATTATTAACATTAATAAATAGATGACCAGAACTTGGCTGTTCTTTTTGGCACTGAAGAATCAAGAAGCAAATAGATAATTCCAAGCCTTTCAGGCTCAAGAGAAACTTTTCATCATTCCCTGATCTAGAATGAAAATTGAAGATATTATCCAGATTTAGGGTTATTTGGAGCGATAGCACAGCGGGTAGGGCGTCTGCCTTGCACGCAGCCAACATGGCCGACCCGAGTTCGATTCCTCCACCCCTCTCGGAGAGCCCGGCAAGCTACTGAGAGTATTCGATATGCCAGGCACAGTAACAACAAAAGTCCTCAATGGAGACGTTACTGGGCCCGCTCGAGCAAATCGATGATCAACGGGAGGGCCTTTACTTTTACTTACTTTACAGAAATAACCATCCTATGAGAGATAGGCTTTCTCTAGATATGGCAAGACAAACATCTATCTACAGAGTTTTCATCCTCTTTGAACTCCTAGGCCCCTATCCCACTCCTTGACTCAGGATAAAAACCCTTGTCTTGTCTGATAGCGTTTATAACTGACATCCAGGTAGATTCTCCATACCAACGTAACTGAAATTTTTTCCCATCTAATCTGTTTATGTTCATTTGATAGATAAATCAGCCTCAGAAGAATTCGGAAGGTAGGAAAAATGTTTTCGCCACCCCATCACCCAAACCCTCTGACTTCTCCTCCAAGTCTAAATGAGCTTTCCAAGTACAGAGGGTTTGACAAGTTCATAGTCATAAGCCCTGGGACATTAACTGCAATGATGGGCAGATGGCCCTTGACTTTAGAAGCCTCTAAGAGAACAAATGTGGGCATTCCCTATCCTGGAGATGTACCCACTTCTGAACCTGAAATGTGCTTTTTCTCTCCATTCCCTCCTCTGCCTCCCCCTGTCAAGAACCAGGTTCGACTGGCTTCACTACTTATGGAGGAACCAGTCTGCCTCAGGAGTCTGGATCAGGAGCCTGGCAGCCCAAAGAAGGAGATCTGACATTCTTTACTGAGGAGGCACACACAGTCCTGGAGATCACATCACCTCTCATCCCCCTTCCCATCCCTTCACCAGACTCCAAGATGGTGGCGGGGCTCCCAATCTTAAAAAGACCATTTCCTGACAGGGAAGGGAGCAAACTACACATTGCCAAGGACACATTCCTTGTCCTGAAAATGCATTAGCAGTCAACATATTCAAAATATACAAATACTTGATCCCTAGCCCCCCATATGGTCCCCTGAGCTCAGCCAGGAGTCATCCCTGAGCACAGAGCCAGGAATAAGCCCAGAGCACAGCTGGGTGTGGCCCCAAAACAAAACAATAAAATCAGCTCCAAATAACTGTTTCAAAACAAAGAAGGAGACATCAATTCTGACTCTTACGAAGTTTTCAGATTCATAGATGTTGAAAAATGTTCCCAAACACCTACATGAACCAAACCCTTTTTGGATGTGACCTCCTGTGTATATACTCCAGGAGGCTAGGGAAATGCCCCAGTGGCTCTCTCCCCCACTGCCCACATCCGGTGGGCTGGAGACGCTTCCCAACCCCGATGGCCACGGCCATAGGCGGACTAAGGAAAAACGGGGGCCAAGCTGGTTGATGATGGCCTGCCATTTATTTCATTCTCCCCACGTGCCTGTTCAGTCTCTCTAAACTCCCCCATTCTAGTCTCACACTGCCCCTCATTCCCATCTCCTCCTGTCTCTCCCAGTCATCGTCTCTCTACACGCCTGCCCCTGTATTCTTCCCCTACATTCTTCTCCCTCTGACCCCCTTACTAGTCTCTCCACACTCCTTCTTGCTGCTGCCTGCCCTGCCCTGCCCTGCCCTGATATCTCTATCTCTGTCTCTCTATTCTCCCTCTCTCTCTCCTCTCTCCTCTCTCTCTCTCTCCTCCCTCTCCACTTTCTCTCTCCTCTCTCCCTCTCCCTCTCCCTCTTTCTCTCCCTCCCTCCCTCTCTCTCCCCTTCCATTCTGCCTGGGGGTAGACATCAAACCCAGTCCAGTAGCAAAATCAACACAAGAAAGCCCTTCCTTTTCTCCATTCCTTAGTCCACTAACTTAATTAACATCTTAATTCTTGAGAAGAGAAAAACATTATTTACAAGTCAACAAGAGCACAAAGAAACACAGAGGAATGGGAGCTCAGCTTCTCAAGTCTGACCATTTGGGGGTCTATCTAGTGATGTGGTGCTGCTCAAGTCTGGAGGTGCTTAGGGGTGACCACGGCTGGGGTGGGGGAGGAAGTGGGCGTGCTAGGGAACCATGTGATGCCAGGTCTCAAACTCAGGGCCTCTGCATGCAACATATGCTCTGAGCCTATTATCTCTGAGCCCCAAACACATGGGGGCGGAGGGGGTAGGAGTCTGGAGGCCATACCCAGTAGTGCTCAGGTGGTATCAGCAGGGGGCTCAGTGGTCACTGATTATTTTGAGGGACAATATGTGGTGCCAGGATATACAATGCCTCCAGCATACAGGGCAGCACTCAGCTAGTATCTCTGGTCCTGTCCCAGAACATTTTTAAGCCCAAAGCAGCCTGCAGGCTCCAGGACACCTCTCAAAACCAGCTCTGAGGGCTCTGGGTCTGCTGAAGATTTACCTCCTGGTAATCTGGAAGCAAGAGGAGCTGAGAGAAAGTAGTAGAAAGAAGGTGGAGAGTGATCAAACCTGCTTACCTGTTCCAGAATTTTGCCTACTTCTCCTAGTTTTCTTTTTTCTTTTTTTTTTTTTTATACCTTCTAAACTGCACCTCTTGGACCCTGACCTTCAGAGTTTAGAAATGAACTTGGTGTGACTGACCATTTCCATCTCATTCTACAGAGGGGAATCTTTAGCAGCTACTCTGAGAACCAAGCTGCCACAAGTTACATTGTTTCCTAGAAGATCACATGGTTCTAACCACAAACCAATTAACTTTGGGAACACAAGTTATAAACTAACTGCTTGCTGGCACTCTCCGATCAAAGTCTTAGTCATAAATACCTGGATTCTACAAGATCTCTGATTTCAAAATTTGCCCAAGTTTCAAAACTTCAGCAGTGTTAAAAAACATTTGTCATTCTCATCTATTTCTCCAGTGTCTTTTCATTAACAAGATTTGCTGACTACTCATCTTGGGTTTTTGTTTTGTTTTGCACTTCTCCATTGAGAATAGGCTCAGATCAATTCCTCCGCCACTGCTCTAAGTCTTCGCTTCACAATCTCATTCTCACAATCTCTAATCTGCCCGCCCATCTCCTTCGTGCCATACACCCATGTTGTTAGCACTCATGTCTTAAAAGAACAGCTCGCAGCACTAGGGAGGTGCCTCAATGGCAGAGCACCTGCCTTACATGCCAAGGATCTAAGTTCGCTCCCCAGAACCACCACTACCACAAAAAGAAAAAAAAAAGTGGTTCAGTACAGTAGTACAGTCCTCCCATTGTTCATCGATTTGCTCGAGCAGGCACCAATAACGTCTCCACTGTGAGACTTATTACTGTTCTTGGCTTATCGAATACGCCTCGGGGAGCTTGAGGACCAGATACTCTTGGTAGCTTACTGGGCTCTCCAAGAGGGACCAAGGAATCGAACCTGGGTTGGCCACATGCAAGGCTAATGCGCTATCCGCTGTGCTATGACTCCAGCACTAGAGTTTATGTAAAATACATAAACCTTAAGAAATGATTTTCTGAAAAAAAAAAAAACAGGGGCTAGAGTGATAGCACAATGGGTAGGGCATTTCCCTGGGCACACGGCAGACCCGGGTTCGATTCCCAGCATCCCATATGGTCCCCCAAGCATGGCCAGGAGTAATTCCTGAGTGCATTAGCCAGGAGTAACCCCTGTGCATCGCTGGGTGTGACCCAAAAAAAGCAAAAAAAAAAAAAAAAAAAAAGCTTTCAGCAAACAACTTTTTGATCAAAACTACAAACAGTCAAACAGTCTGAAGCCTCTTTCTCAGTTCTGAAATTCTTACACTATCTGCATTCCAAATAATGCTGGGTCTTAAAATTAAAATCTGAAAAATTAGACATTAATATTAAAAGCAAAAGTTCATACTGGAATAGAGACAAATGTAAAAGATCAAAGCAAAGAATTTATGAATTTAAACATAAGACTATTGGGGGATACATTTGTAAGAATTCTATTAATATTCTACTTGACCAGAACTTTTATTTGTTACAATTCTTAATGTGGAATTACTTATAAAAGCAGATGCCTCGCAGCAAATGGTGTGTTTGGTGTGTGAAATCTCATAATAGATAAGCTTGGACAGATGATTCTAAAATATACTTATCGGGAATGACAAGATATAAATATTTACAAGTTTTTTATTAAAAAATTCAACTCTTTCCATACCACAGTATATGATGACTTATTTTATTTTTATTAGATCATTAGATCACAAAAATAATCTGCCTCTGGGTGAGATACCACAATCTTCATACACTTTCTTTCATGAAAACTTCTTTTGATCATTTTTAGAGCATTATTCATAATAAGCAATACAAAATAAATTATTTAGGGTATGCTATTAGGACAGTCTTGGGTGGTGGTTGGAAAATTCAAAATAATGGTGGTGGAAAGGTGGAACGGTGGTGGGATTGGTGTAAGGATAGTGAATTTAATAAGTTATTGTGAACAAACTTCACTGTCACTGTCACTGTCATCCCGTTGTTCATAGACTTGCTGGAGCAGGCACCAGTAACGTCTCACAACAAATTGTGAGACTTTTGTTACTGTTTTTGGCACACTGAATATGTCATGGGTAGCTTGCCAGGCTTTGCTGTTCGGGAGAGATACTCTCAGTAGTTTGCTGAGCTCTCTGAGAGGGGCAGAGGAATTAAACCCAGGCCAGCCGTGTGCAAGGCAACCGCCCTACCCACTGTGCTACCACTCCAGCCCATGAACAACCTTATAAAAAATAAAATAAAAATTTAAAAAATAATAAATATCTGTGTCCTTTAAAATGACAATAACTGCAATTTATACTAAAAGCAATGCTACTGCATTAGTTATTTTCAAACTTTTGGAGAGTGAAGATAACATAAAGTCATCTTCTGTTCCTTCATTTTAATAATATAGAATAAATTTAGATTATTTGCAGGTCTTTTACCTTAGTACTTGTATGATGTCTGACAAAAAACACATCTTCAGGAGCAAAAGAAAATATTTCTTTTGTTCTTTAATTTGTGTAATATACTTCTAATGATGTTATATCTAGTCACAGGTCCTTCCATTAAACAATGTAATGAGTATCTTAAGCTTAGTGGCAAAAAAGGTGCACTGTTACCATAGTGTATAAAGGATGCAATCATAGGAAAGAAAATGTCTAGAGATAAAAATAATAATGATAATTTAATGATAAAAAGACAGTTTTCATTTCTACTGTGAAAAAACATCCAGCCTGGGGCCGGAAGATAGCACATGAGTTAAGACACTTGCCTTATGGTGGCAGACCCCATTAGATACCTGACAAAGCATATTGTCCCCTGAGCACTACCAGGAGTGACCCTTGAGGACAAAGAATAAACAGCCCTTGAGCATACTGGGAATGGCCCAACCAGCCACCCCAAACACACATATATTGAATCATACCTTATTGGTACAACTCTTGCACCTGCAGACTCCAAATACTTTACATAGGATGCAGCAATATAGTAGTTCCCAAGTTTTTTCATGGCCTTATGATGGCATCTTTGCATTAGTATCCCTAAATTAAAAGAAATAGAGGTTAGTCTCACAATTTTCTTGTTACCCTTTCCGGAAACTGAAATATACCACAGTAAAAATGGCACTACCTTACTTGTTTAATTCATAAGCTTAAAGTTCTATAAAGCTATGAAGTTCTAGAGAAGCAAACACATCATAGGCTTTGGGAAAGGAGCAATGAATACATCTCAATTTTTAAGCAGCCTCTTCTCACTCAATCCACCTAAAGAGACCAAGTAAGCCCTCAAAGCAGGTTTAACATAGCATCAGCCTCCTTCACCTAAACACATAGGTGGAATGTCTCAGATTAGAGATCCTGGGGCTGGAGAAATAGCTCAGTGGGTAGGGCGTTTTCCCTGCGCCTGGCGAACCCGGGTTTGATTCCCAGCATCCCAAGCACCACCAGGAGTAATCCCTGAGTGTATGAGCCAGGAGTAACCCCTGTGCATCGCCAGGTGTGACCCAAAAGCAAAAAATAAATAAATAAAAAGATTAGAGATCCTTAAAATGTAGGAGGCCTGTCCTTTCTCACACATAATCAAAGACACACTGTTTCTGTGACAACCAAGAGTGGAAATATCTTCTGTTCCCAGCTCCAACATCATTACAGTGCCTTAAATCAATCAATATATCACCTTCCTCACCCCCAATGACAGCGGTCTCTGAAAACTTTCTTGATATCCTTCCCAAGGCCCTCAAGCTCCAATCAATTCTCCACATGGATATAAATCTAACCACATCATCATTCATTCAGAATATATTACTGAACCATAAATGAATAAAACAAGCAAAATCATTGCCAATGGGATTTAATTCTAAAATTCCATTAGGACAGAGAACAACAAGGAGACTCGACAAGACAAAAGCATAAAACATAAAGAAGAATGGTTGGTAGGTGGTAAGTGCTAAGAGGAAAAACGAGAGGAAGAAGGTGTGTGTCAGGATTGGGGGTACAGAGGGTACCACCTATGAACAGAAGAGTCTCTGAATCTGGGTGGCCAGGAAGTCCTCAATGAGAAGGCAGAGTATGACATTGCAGCCCAGATTTCAGCAAGGTAAAGAAAGAAGTCAAGATCAGGTACATTGAAAGAGGAATCAAGGAGAGGAAACAGTAAGTTCAAAGGCACTGGGTCCTATGTGTGCCTCTCACAATGCAGAGAGTTCCTATGATCAGACACCTGGGAATGGGAGAAATGCAATAGGAAATGAATTCAGAGAGACTCGTCGAACCTACCTCTCTGGCCACCTTTATCACTGAAAAGGCATCTACGTATATCAAAACAGGTCTGTCAAGAATGTCTACCCATAGTTTCATCATTCACTGTTTTTACCCTTCAGAACCCTTTCAATGTCTCTCTAGATGCCCAAACTGCAAAAGCTGTCTGTATCAATCACTTCTATAGTATTAGCTTCTCGAAGTAAGAGGCATTTATCAGGCACTCAGTTAACATGTGCCAAATACCAAAATTTGTTCAGAAAGACATTTCTCATGAAGAGGTACAAGCATCATGATGGAAGAAGATGAAATTTGGTAAATAAGAATTAGGGAAGGCCAACAAAATGAAAAAGTAGAAGAGAGTTGAGGCTGAAGTTCTTGGGACACACGAAAACAAGGTATCAGAAAGGAATCCAGTAGACTAGAGTAGGTAAGTTCTACCACTATGACTCTGCACTCACTTTCCTATCCCAGGGGGGCGAAATTCAAGCTGTATCCTCTACCTAGGTAAAAGCAACCAAAATTCCACCCATACTTAAAGGCCATCTCACTACTAGTACAGCTGCCTTGTCTGTGAATCTTTTTCACTTCCTAACTTAATAATTTGCACATAATACATACTTAGTGAACTATATTGCCTATTTAATCAGGGTGCTCAAAAGTATATTCTCTATGTTTCATTTCTTTAATATTTGACCCTGGTTGACTACTGTTTCTAGGAAAAGAAATGTCCTCTCCTTTTTTCTTTACTGCACCTACAAATTCCAACCTTCTGTTTTATTTATTTATTTATTTATTTTGCTTTTGGGGTCACTCCCGATAATACACAGGGGTTACTCCTGGCTCATACAATCAGGAATTGCTGCCGCGGTGCTCAGGGGACTATATGGGATGCTGGGAATCGAACCCGAGTAGGCCATGTGCAAGGCAAAGGCCCTACCTGCTGTGCTACTGTTCCAGCCCCACCTTCTATTATTATTATACTGTAAGTTAGTTCTCCTTGGTGAATCTCATCACCATTTAAAACAACTAGAAGGCGTTAGAAGTTACAAATATTAACACACGGTCTACTTGAAAATTGGATATTAACAAAATAAATGTGTCTGTGATGCATGTGTGTGTGTGCGTTCATCTTTTATATCTATTTTGTATTAAGTTACAGAACACACAGTGCTCATCTTTCTTCCCGAAAGGAAAAACAAAATAAGTGAATAACATACTATTACTGTTAAAATGAAACTGATCTCAACTGTCCTTACATAAATCACTATAATCCAATCTTAATTCCAGGAGGTTATCACCTGAGCAGTCTTCCCCAAGCCTTTCTCAAACAATCTACCCTGGCAACACAATCTGTTTTTACTCTTTCTTTGAGCATACAGCCTTGTTTATTCTTTAAAAGGACTAAAGACGTGCTTCGTTTTAACACCAAACAAAAGGCATGTGAAAGTTACGGGCTCCTGACGCTCTCCGCTCTTCGCTGCTGACGACAGAAATGTCGAGGTAGGTGATAATTTCTTGACCCTCTAGTCAATTCATTTTGTACTGAAACACACCCTCGGGCAGTGGCATTTTAGTAAGTATGTTACATGAACATAATGAGTTGAACTTCCTGGCCCAGTTCAAAGTCGAAAATTGCAGGACTCACCGCCCACCCAGCCCCCTTCCAACTTTGCAGAGTCCTGTGAACCTGCGGGAACCGCTGTATTTTCAGCACGATCCCGTGCTCGGAGCGCCCAACACCTGGTCCCCCTCGACCTGCTATTTCCCGGGCGAGACACCAACTCCCCGCTCGACCTTACCGATGATGGGCTTCTTGGAGGCGGTGTTGAACGGGAGAACCGAGTTCTCCAGGCTCCCCGCACCGCACCAGAACAGGCACATCACGCAGAGCAGGCGACCCAGGTTCGCCATAGCGATCGTCGCCTCCCGCCGCCTTTCAAAGGAACTGCGGGCAGGTGACCGGGACGAGGCGGGTGGCCGCCGGGTGGCGTCGGGCCGGTCGGCGGCTCCGCCCGCGGGGCCCTATGGGAAATGTAGTCCAGGTGCGCGTGCGCGTGCGCGTGCGCGCCGCCGTCGAGGGGCGGGGCGGAGTGGAGGGAGGCGGTGCTGAGCGGGAAGGGGCGGGGAAGACTGATAAGGGGCGGGGCGGGGCGCTAAGGGGCGGGGCTGGAGCTTGCGGACCCGAACTCGCGGTCTATGCTGCGGCCACATAGCCACGCCTGCCACGAAAGACTAGATTCGGAGAGTCTAGCCTGCGGACACTCCGACTCTGCGGAGTCCCTGCGTGGCCACAGAACTGTGTCCTCACGCCTCGGAATCTCCCTTTTACTGTTACGTAGTTGCAACCTCAGGTCACTGCAACTAAGCCGAGGCGTCGGGTCCTGACTCTCGGAAGGCAGTTTCTGATCCAGTCTAGGAGGCCGAAGTCTTCCCAGAACTTCGCTCTAACGCCTCCTGCTGAGAAGCCAAGAAGCCCAGGGTGCTACCCTAGTGCCCCAGAGAAAGAAAGGCTTTGGAGGGGGACTTCCATCACCCCTACATCTCGTTTTTCCAGGAGCAAACGTAGCGGTGGAAAAGGAAAACACAGCCCGCGAAGGTGAATGTAAATCACGAGGTCTCTCCCGCTCCCAACTGGGTCTAGGAAAGGACCAACTTTGGGCATCTTTTGCCAAGGGACAGATCCCGGCCAACCGGAAAACCATACCCACCTCTTCATCACTGCTGGCGCTAAGCTGTCCTATAAAGAGTGGCAGGGTTGAAGACTTTGCTGCTGAAGTCATTAAAAATACTTTCGGAGGCCAGAGCGATAGCACAGCGGGTAGGGCGTTTGCCTTGCACGCGGCCGACCCGGGTTCGATCCTCAGCATCCCATATGGTCCCTCAAGTACCGTCAGTAGTAATTCCTGAGTGCAGAGCCAGGAGTGACCCCTGAGCATTGCTGGGTGTGACCCAAAAGGCAAAAATAAATAAATAAAATAAAAATACGTTCGAAGGTCCTGCTCACAATTTGAAAAGAGGGGCCAGAGAGAGAGAGAGAGAGAGAGAGAGAGAGAGAGGCGGCACCACTTATGATTCCCTGAGCACCGCCAAGAGTGATCCGTGAGCACAGAGCCAGGAGTAAGCTTATTTTTTTCTTAAGTATCGAGAATCACTTGACATAATTTGGCAGATAAGTGAGTAAAGGGTAGGAAACTTTTTCTTTCTGTGAAAGAAATCCTTATTATATTAGTAGGACTTGAGCTAGGCAGAATATCGTACCCATGAAGGCCAAATTACGTTCAGAATAAAATTGAGTATTTCAAAAACTCTTCAATCAAGTGCTCAGTGTTGAAAATGCCATTATGAATTGGTCAATGTCTTTTTCACAAGAAAGTTTACAAGTTAGTAAGAAATACAGAAAGACAACATGATGAGGGTAACTGGGCATATTAGGAAAAGTGTGATAGTAAAAGTTTGGCAAGAAACTTAAGCTACTTTAGGTAGTGTGTGATGAAGGTTAACTTCAAGAGAATGGTTTTTAAGAACACTGTGAAAAGATTTAAGCACTCATAGTTGTTGTGAACATAATGGAACAAATAAGGAGCTTTGTGATTCTTATCCCTAATTCTGAAATAATTGCCATGGGAAAAGAGTGACATAAGGAAAAAAGCTGGCATTTTACTGAAAAATAAGCTCTAAGTGAGTAAAGATAAATATGTGTAAGGAAAAATTTCATCCATTATTAATATATAGAAGCATGTATATGACTTTGGTGATGAGAGTTTTACAAAACATGGAAAATACAAATATTAATTTTAAATGTGTAGGTTTGAAAATTAAAAGCATATCTTCTTTTATGGCTGTATCGCAGTTTACCCTAATAATAGAGTTGTTATTTTATACCTGCAGAGCTATTTACCCTGAAACATAACTTTAGTCAAGTTAAAAAATAGACTCAAGTATGAGTACCCATTTCTAGAATGTATGAGGCACTAAAATTATTTAAAGGGGGTCAGTCTTAAGGGGATTAGAATGACAGGACAGCTGGAAGGGCATTTGCTTTACACACAGCTGACCCAGGTTCTCTCCCTAGGCATCCTCCCCCAGGAAGACAGTTCAGAGTGCAGAGCCAGGAGTAAGCCCTGAGCACCGCCACTTGTGGCCAAAACAAACAAACAAATGGCAAGGGTTGGGGGTTTGGGAGCCAATGATAGGAAAATTGGATAATAACGTAAGACAAAGTTTCAGGATCTGAGAGATTACTCAAAGGGCTGGAGTTCATGCAGAGCATACAAGAGACCCAGGTGCAATCCCCAGAATCACATGGCCCCTTTTTGTGTCTTTGGAATTGACCTTCTGAACACTATGTCTAAAGGGATCCCTAATCGCAACTGTATGTGACCCAAAATTTTTGAAACAGGAAGGGGCCTCACTAGTTATCAAGGAAATGAAAATTAAAATAACGTACTATAGGCCCAGGAATAGTTCAGTAGTAGTAAAATACTTGCTTTACAGACTAAGTGTTTTGTGTTTGATCCCCAGCACAATCCTACATTCTGAGCACGATGCCCGTGGTGTTGTGTATGATCCCTGATGCAGTCTCCAGTGCCTGGAAGCCAAGGGGGTCCTTCCCTGGATTATTGCAATAATGACAAAGGGAAGAGAAATTAGATCTATCAGACTGATAAAAGTGTAAACCTTCACAATAAGTCACAGGTGTTTGGAAAAATGAGAATTCACTGACACTAATAACAGGACTAATAAGGATAATCATTTTACAGAGTAGTGTAAGATAACAGCAAAGATATACATTCTGTAACTTAACACTTTTCAGATGTAACTATATGCCCTAGAAAAAAAATGGTTGCAAGTCTCACTGGGGGCATGGAGGAGGGGGAGAGAAAAGAAAAAAATCACCAAGTATCTTCTTTACAGTTTTTTTATTTCTTAAGAGTTTTTTACAGTCTTTTTTTTTCTGAGAGTATTTCCAACAAAGAAAAAGGTTACACAATTGAGATATAGTTGTCAGTCCTCATGACCTCCTTCTGCTTCACTTTCAAGAACATCTTGAGATCCAGAAATGAAAGACAGAAACAATAGTTTGCATTTTGTTGTGGGTCTTCATTTTCAGGAAGCATCATTATTCATGAACTATGAAAATGAGTGATCAGAACTGAAGACAACAGGAATTTAAATCACTTAAAGAGGTTGAGACATGTGTGTGTGTGTATATATATACATATATATACATATATATATATATAACACAGTAAACAACCAACAAATACCCAAAGGTAATAGAAAATGAGAACTGGTTTTTAGTAAGAATCATGAGGAATGAGGGATAGAAGCCGCATGGGAGTAAGGACAACACTGGGACATGTTAGAGGGAAATTGATACCCTGGTAGAGAATGTGGTGTCGAAAATTTTTTGTATAAAACCCTGCCACTCATCGATATCATAAATCATGATGTATAAAATAATTAAAAAATAAAAATAAAAAGCTTGCTAGGTAATTGGAGGAGTCTATTTGGTGGCTTTTCTCCCACAAATTGTATATTTTGGCACACGCCAAAGAATGGAGCTATTCTTGCTCATTATGTTCGACTTTATACCACACAGAAGTTGAGAAAATAGTGACTATCGAGGGAATATTTGATAGGGACTTTTCCCAGAATGAAAGTTTAGTTCTCCCAAATATCTACACCCCATGGTGGAGTTACCAGGATAGGGTGTGACTTTTGTGGGAAAATAATTACAAATTATAAATTTATCTATCATCAGAACTGCCAGATAAAAATTGTCTATACAGAAAACGGAATCTAGAAAATTCCTGTCTGAAATGGCTAGGGAAATGAATAACTTTCTAAAAGTGGTTCAATACCACTTAGTATCAGCTCCTTAATTAATATAAAATTTAATAATCTCTTAACATTGTGTGTGAAAAAACAACTAAATTGTTGCGGCTTTGAGAATAAGAGTCATTTGGGAGAAAGACAGTTGAGTTGTAACAAAAAGGGTAAACAAAAACAAGAATTTTTTTAAAAAATTAACATTAAGCTGAGCAAAAGTCATCCAAAGATTTAGAGTCTCTTGCTAGTAGGTAAAATGAAGAATAGAAAAGAAGGAAGTAATTGGAAGGATAAAAAAGAAAAGGGAAACACAGTTCAAGGAAGTTTTGATACCATTAGTAATAGGAAAATAAAAGAATAACAACAAGAAGTAATCAAAGGGAAATGTGGAGGAGGTTGAATGTAGGACTCATAATTTTGTTTTGGTCTTGGGTGGAACCTGACCACTTCATGGTGTCAGATGCTTGTTCTTGGGAAAGCAGTTTCTACTTCATGCCATTATAGGGAAGGAAAAATTTTGCCTACTCCTTTTGATCCTCTGATTGTAGCCCTATATAGTTAGAATGACAAATTAACAGTAAAAACTACTGTATTGATGAGTTCAGATCACATACTGCAGGCAGAAATTTGACTAAAGAGTACCTTAAAGAATGGGTTATAATTTGACCTTAATAAAGAAAAATAAATTTTTGGAGAAGTAACAAGACCAAAAGGACTTTGAGTTCTAGGGGGAGACAAATTGTAGGAAAATAAACGTGGGTAAAGAAATACATCTCAATACGTATAAATAAATTATTATCCAGAACTCTTTAATGGCATGTATAACCTTGATAAGTATCTAAAGTTGTGCCCAAAGGTCCTTTGCCAAATCAAAGTTTTGCAGCAGTTTGATGGTAAGGTCAGTTATTCCTTGGTGGGAGATCACAAAAATATGTAAGAAAAGAAAACCTAAGAGTGGAGAAAAGGATTGAAATGCTTTGAGGAGTTAGATCATATAGGAGGTAACATGTTTGCCTTGCTTGATGCTGATCCTAGTTTAATCCTGGCACTACATATGGTTTCTTCGAATACCACCAGGAGTTATCCTTGAGCACAGAGCCAAGCACATCTCCTGAGTAGTGATGGTTGTATCTCAAAACCTAATTTTTTTCAAATAGGAAGGATTTGAGATTTTTTTTTTTTTAGTGTCAACATGTAAAGCGTCTATTAAGGGGGCTGGAGCAATAGCATGGAGGGTAGGGAGTGTGCCGTGCACGCTGCCGACCTGGGTTCGATTTCCAGTATCCCATATGGTTCCCCGAGCACCGCTAAGAGTAACTCCTGAGTGCATGAGCCAGGAGTAACCCCTGTGCATTGCCGAGTGATGCAAAAAAAAAAATCTATTGAGGGGTGGACGGACAGTCTTCTTTGTCATTTCTATGACAGGTGAAAATGCAGTCTAGATCTAGAAACAGCCAACTAATTATAGAAACAACTGTCTCTTTATTGTTTTATGAATCGAGAGTTACAGTAGAGTTTATGCCTAAGGTATACATAATTACTGCCCTCTACCACCACCAACGTTTTTGAGACCCTTCACCACTGTTCTAGTACCACTTCTAGTCTACCTCTTCCCCCTCCCTCCACCCCTTCCTCTACTCCCACTCCCACCCTTGGTAATTTCAGATTTTTGCTCAAAGTCCATTATTATTAGATACCACCCATACTCGTGCTTTGCTTATTTATAAGCAACATCTGAGCAAGATCATCTGGTATTCATTCTCCCTCTGTCTTGTTTTACTTAATATAACCCCCTCTAATTCCAAGTTATTGCAAAAGGCATGATTTCATCAAAATAATTTTTAAATATTATAAAATGCAGTACAATATAAATATAATTCTAATATAAATATAATATCAAAATAATAGCTGAGTACTACTTAAATCTGTAGTTTGATATTTGGGTTTCATATCTTGGCTATTGTAAATGATGCTGCAGTAGGTGTGTATCTTTTTTCTTTTTTTTTTTTTTTTGCTTTTTGGGTCACACCAGGCAATGCACAGGGGTTACTCCTGGCTCTGAGCTCAGGAATTACCCCTGGCGGTGCTCAGGGGACCATATGGGATCCTGGGAGCCGAACCCAGGTCGGCTGCGTGCAAGGCAAACGCCCTACTCGCTGTGCTATTGCTCCAGCCCCAGGCGTGTATCTTTTTGAATTAATGTTTTTGTGTTTTAGGGACAGATACCAAGGAGTGAAATCACTGGACCATATGAAAGTGCAATTTTTAAATTTTTTTTTTAGAAATCTCCATGCTATTCTTCATAGAGTCTATACCAAATGATATACCCACCAACAGTAAACAAGAGGACTCCTTTTCCCCCACCACATTCCACCATCAATGGTCTTTTGGAAATATACCGTTCTCACCAAGGTAAGGTAGTATCTTCTGGTCTTGATTTCCATTTCCCTGATCATAAGTGATGCCAAACACTTTTTTATATGACTATTAGTCACCCCTGTGTCTTCTTCAAGGAATGTCTATTTATTTCCTTTCCCCATTTTATCATGGGATAATTTTTCATTATTGAGCTCTGAGAGTGCTTAATAATGATGTAATTTTTAGAAATAAAATCTTTCAGTAGATAGATCATGTACTAGGAGCTAGAGGCTCTAAATGAATTTTATGCTTAGAAATTATATGTGCATTTTAGGTGAGAGATTAGAATAAATATTGCTTAGAGACAACACTAAGCAAAAAGACCATTTAAATACTGAATTCAGATAGAATCAGGGCTCAGAGTCTTCTGAAGATGAATTAAATCTTCTATAGGACTTATAAGAGGAAGCATAGGGGTTAAAGTGAGTGGAATTTAAAATCAACCAAAATATGAATAACAGGTAGTTGAGATTCTTAAAATAGATTGAGTTTAAAGTAAAAAATGGTTTGATACCATAATGCCCAAAAGTCAAGAGTAAGAAAAAAGGTGCCTCCCACAGAGGCAGGGGATGGGATGGGTTGGGGGGTGGCAGAAGGGGTACTGGGAGCATTGGTGGTAGAAGATGGACACTGGTGGAGGGACGGGTGCTCAATCATTGTGTGACTGAAACTTAATCATGAAAGATTGTAACTGTATCTCATGGTGATTCAATTAAAAAAAGTGGCTTGATATGTGAAACTAACATTTAGGATTAGAGAGAGAAAAATGAAAAGGGGATCAGATCTAGTAAATTGTAAAACGACTGCAGAGGACAGTCTTATTTCCCAGTAAGTAATATTTCATTTCAACATAACTCCAGTTTTCATCATGTCATGTGGCCCTCATTATTATTCCCTGGTGCTGTCATCTAACCTTGAAATACAAAATATACCTTGGTAGGTCTGCATTCTGACTACTGACCCTATGTGTGCTAAACTCTGATTAGAAACTGAGTCTACAAAGATGAAAAGATTGCATTTCAGTGACACAGACAAATACTGAGTTTTAAGGACTATGTTAGATACTTACACAGAGCACTAAGGGAAGCCTAAAAATCTCACTGGGAGCATTAGAGAATGTGTCATAATTAAATGTGAGTAATTAGAGAAGGGTGATAATTAAGTGTGACTTTGCAGATGTGAAGACAAAAAAATCAATAAAGGATGGTGTGTCAAACAATAAGAAAATACACTGCACCACCCATTCCCTTACTCATTTCTATTGTTGAGATATCTTGTTTGGAAGAGGTGATATTTCTCAAGGTGGTAGGAAAGTTGAAGCACCTACAGCATAGGTGTGGTTAGGGTTCCTACAGTGAAATGATGGCTAACAGGTTGGGTTTGGGTGTGTACAGCCTCAGCTGCCAATTAGTGGTTCACCATGCTGCTCTTTCCAAGATCAAGGAGTGAAATCATGAAGAAAGAAATCGCAGCAGTGGATGGACAGGAACAATGAGAAACTGGTAGTCTAATGTGGAGGCTTTTGAATCAGGTTGGGTAGGAAATGATTTACTTTGGAAATGGGACTGGGTTGCACATTTCCTGCTAAGACTCATAGAATCAGGTGGCCACTGATCCATGTGGTCTACAGAATTGAATCTATTAAGGGTAATTTAGGGTTGAGGAGTGGTGTGAACTTGATAGCCAGATCAGCCGAGTTCAGTCTTATTCTGGTATTTACCAGCTCCATTATTCTAAACTAGGAAGAAAAACTTTTTGAATTCAGTTCTTTTCTGTAAAATTGGGCACAATTATATTTACTTTTTGTTTCCTGAGCTATGGGGCAAATATTGAATATATATGTATATATATATGAATCTATTGTAGTGACTTGCACAAAATTTGCTATCCATAATTTGAGAGCCCTTTAAGCTGGCATCTCTAATTTTGTTTCACGTGGATCTTTATAAACAGATGTCACACTCCTCTGGATCCATCCACTTTCTCTAGAAATACAGTGCTTTTGTTGCTTCAACATGGTCTCTGACTATCTCAAAGTGATTACTCATGCTATTTATTCTCTTTGACTATCTTTCCTCTCCTCATTTCACATTGCTCCTTACTGAAGTCAGTTCTTAAAGGTTCAGCTTTGAGTTGTACCTCCATTAACAACAAAGCCTCACCTTAAATGGAACTGACCTTTCTCTCTGTAAAACTCCCAAAGCATTTTATTGGGACTCTTTACATCCTTTACTGATCATTACTGACCATATTGAATATATATATGTATATATTATTCTGCATATCATATGGTTACTTTTTTATTCACTTAACACAATGTTCAGAAGTTATTTAATAGCTTGACTCGATTAACTTGGATGGGGAAGACAGCTGTCAACTTGAGTTTGATGTCTACAGGGTGAGGGGTGCGGTGGAGTATGGTCTATGTTCTTCGTGACCCAGAGAATTTATTGGGATACTCTGCTGTTATCCTAATTTCACTGGCGCTATTTCAAGCCTGCCTTTAGAAGATGCTCTCTGTAGCATCTGACAATGGAAAAATTGAAGTTTTGAGGCCCGTTAGAAATGCTGCAGTTTCTTACTAGTTTTCCAAGTTTTTGGTTTGTGTGTTTAATCTGATTCGTGATCTATTGGTAAAAATATTTGCTGTAGGACTTCAGTGTTGTTTCTGATAAGAAAGAGTTTTACAAAATCCTGGTCTAGGCTAGTTACAGATAATTTCAAGATCCAAATATTTGACTAGGTGACACACTATGACTTTTCTAATTTTCAAAATTTAACTTCTTTAGTGTTCATGGCTCAATTTTATGAAATCAGTTTGTGGTCTAATTAACACAGCAAAAGACTATGGAGTGGGTGGGAAGGAAACTGGAGACATTGGTGGCAGGAAAAAGATACTCTGGTGAAGGGAGGGGTGTTGGAAACTTGTGTGACTGAAAGCCAGACATGAATAATTTTTTAACTCCTGGTAATTCCAAAAAAAAATAATTTTTAAAGGACTATAGAGGGTGATAGTATTGAACTGAGCAGCTTGAAAATTCAACCATTAATGAAAACTTATGCAAAGATAGGCACTTGTGTAATGGACAACTAGATTGATAAGTTTTTCTTAAAATTTTTGGTAAGAAAAAGTCATTTAGGGGCTGGAGCGATAGTACAGCGGGTAGGGCGTTTGCCTTGCATGCAGCCAACATGGCCAATACAGGTTCAATTCCCAGCATCCCATATGGTCCCCCAAGCACTGCCAGGAATGATTCCTGAGTGCATGAGCCAGGAGTAACCCCTGAGCATTGCTAAGTGTGACCCAAAAAGCAAAAAAAAAAAAGGTCATTTTAAAAAAAGAATGCCTAATATTCATATTTTAAAATGAAAAAAATAAAGCTACAATTTATGTGAAAGACTTTTATTTCCTTTTTAAAAATATTAAACAAATGATCAGACAGTTCATTATCACAATGAGTTACACGATCAAACTAGATTTTTAAAGGCATTTTTTTGTTCCATTACAGTAAGGTAATAAACAGCTTTACAGTTATTTATTTTGCCTACCCCTTTCACATTGGTCTTTAAATGTATTTCAGAAAATTTTCAGTCCTAATCAAGAATGTATTTTTATTTGTTTATTTTAATTATATTTAGTATTAGCAGCATGAATAGTGAATCACACTTAAAAGACATCTTAAAATAATTTCATGTACCAAAATTCCTTTAGACATAAAGTATTTTGAAGTACTAAAATGTAAGTGAAGTAGAACTTTCTTCTAAAGAAAAAAAGTTGGGTAAACCAATGCTTTTTGTTATTGCTACTAATTTTTTCATTAATGTATTCCGTACTGTTATATTTTAAATTTTTATTGTGGTAGCATGGGTTTACAACAGTATAAAATTTTTTGTGTCATAGGGTCACAATATTACCATACTTTATCCACCACTGGAGTGTCAATTTCCCTCCAGCACAATCCACTGAATCTTTTCAACCTACACCCCCCCCAACCACATCATTGTTATTTTCTTTTTTTAGGAAATAGAGGAATTTTTTTTAATTGGTTTGGGGCCACACCCAACAGAACTCAAAGCTGTCTTTGGACTCAGGGATCACTACTGGCAGGCATGGGGAACCATAAGGGTGGTGCCAGTGATGGGTCGACCGCATAAAAGGCAAATGTCCTACCCATTGTACAATGGTGCTCAGGCCCCACCTGTTATTTAGAATGTGCAATTTTATTTTGTTTGCTTGAGTTTTTTTGGGTGGTGTTGGGGCACACCTGGCTGTGCTCAGGGCTTACTTCTGGCTCTGTGCTCAGAACTCATTATTGGTGGGCTTAGGGAACCATACTGACTCCAGGAAATTGAACCTGGGTCAGTCACTTGCAAGGCAAGGGCGTTACCCATGGAACTCTCTCTCTCTCTTCTACCCTCTTTAACATACAATTTTAAGTTGTATAGTATAGGCCAACCCGGGTTCAGTTCCTCTCAGAAAGCCTGGCAAGCTACCGAGAGTATCCCATCTGCACAGCAGAGCCTGGGAAGCTCCCCATGGCGTATTCAATATGCCATAAACAAGTCTCACAATGGAGACATTACTGGTGCCCGCTAGAGCAAATCGATGAACAACCAGAGGACAGTGCTACAGTGCTACAGTATTGTAAAGAAGTTCTTAATATATATTATAAACAGCATGAAAGAAGTTTCCAGTTGTAGTCAGTTTCCGAAAGTTAAAATCAGCATTCTAAGAATATTCCATTACTCTCAATTTATCATAGTTATACATTAAAAAGAATCATAAATACCAATTAGTTCATCTTATTAGAATAATTTTCTTATAAAGAAAACACTCTTCATATAACCTTTTAAAAAATATCATTGTACAATAACATTGAAATCTATCTCTGCTGAACAAATACTTAACAAAATTTTTACCCTGTGTTCTTTGAATTTTAAGTTTAAAATAAAATTTTTAAATATATAGCATACTAGGGCTGGGGACATGCCTCAGAAGTACAATACATTCTTCATACCCAAGAGGCTTTGGGTTTGATCCTTAGCATGAAAGAAAGAAAAGGCTCAAATTGCAAAATAATAATAAGAAAAATTTGAAGATTTACTGACCGATTTATTTCATCCTCAACAAATGAAATATTCTTTGACAAAAATTACTCACAAACAGAATTTTTTTTCTTTTTTGGTCACACCCGGCAATGCACAGGAGTTATTCCAGGGTCATTCACTCAGGAATTACTCCTGGCGGTACTCGGGGGACCATATGGGATGCTGGGAATTGAACCTGGGTCGGCCACGTGCAAGACAAACTCCCTACTCGCTGTGCTGTTGCTCCAGCCCCAAACAGAGATTTTAAACTGCTTTATTTTTAAAAGGTGTATTTGTGGGGACTGGGGCCCATGGGCAGCTGTAGTTAAGGTTACTCCTGGCTCTGTGTCTGTGTTCAGGGTTCACTTCTGGTGGTATTTGGAGAATCACATTCAAGGTTGGGGATTAAGCTAGTGTCAGCCATGTGCAAGACAAACATACTACCCACTGGATTCTCTTTCCAGCCCCTTCTAACTACTTATCTCAAAATGGAATATGAATTGTAGCCTTTTCTTAAATATTTTGACATGCACAAATCTAAGGCTCCAGACATAATTGAGTTTTTAAACTATTTTAAAAATTTAGGCATTTCCCTTTCCTGTGTAGTTGTATTATTGTTTAATTTTTGTGTCTATATTTATGACAACCAAATAATATTTCATCTCTACATCTCTATGTAGTTTATATAAAAGTAAACAAGAACAGAATTCAAAATGATATATTTTATTTATTTGAAAGTGCAAAAAGTATTGAGGCCATCAATTTACCTGAAATTCTGTCTAAATTATTTTTGATTATATATTGTATCACCACAAATAATTCAGAGACCCAAATGTTCTAATACTTTAGCTTATGACATAGATTTTTCCATCAAAACTTCTATTATACAAGTGTGCTAAAAGAATTCCCCTGAGATTAACTACCTTCCTGACACATAGAAGTAGTCTGTAAGACTATATTGAGGTTTTCATCAAAATAATAATCTAATATGATCTCACCCAAAATGAGTGTTAACAGATTTGTACCATCAGTTGACTGTGCTAATATTTCTTTTCAGTAGACTGTTTATAAGTTGATTGCTAAGCCAATATAATCAAGAACTTGTTTAAAATGAAACTTTAAAAAACATAAAACAGATGAGTAAGCTTCTTTTGAAATAACTTTCAAGTGCCAATGTCAGGAATCTTTTCTACGGTGCACTAACTCATCTTTTAAAATAAATGCACCAACATTTAGTTACTTCAAAGTCAAAGAAAATACCTTTTAAACGTTGTATCCCCCAATACCCAGATTCCTCATTCCATAAGATTTTTGCATTTTGATTTCTTTGTGGGGGAGGGGCATTGGGGGGTCCACACTCAGCAGTGCTTGTATACCAGGGTGGACTCTGTGCTCCAGTCCTCCAGGTGGTTCTCCCAGACCAGGTACTGCCACAGGAATTGAACCGCAGATTGCCATCTTTCTGCCTTCCAAGTGTGAAACTCTTAAGCCATCTCTGCTGTGCAGATGTTTACCTTTTTAAACATCAATCTTATAGCCCTTGATTAATTAACTTAAAAGATTCTTTTTGTATCATTCATGTAGCCAGATTGGATCTCACTCATATATTTTAAATTAGAAAGCCAATCACATTAAATAGAATCTCATTGAATAGCCTGGGAAATACTGCTGAGATAATTTTCAGACTTCATTATAAAATTTGTCCACTCCTGACAAATGTCCTCCATGGAAAACTCTTCACCACCATATTCCAGAGGAAGAATATCTGGGAAATGCTGGAGTAAACTCTCTTTGTAATTGTTTCCATGCATATGAATCTGAAATGTTGAAAATATTTTAGAAGACATACCACATACCCACTGCCCTTCAATTTAGTAGATGTGTTTAGTAGAAAAGCAATGTCAAAATGCAATGTTTTACTTCGAAGATAAAGATATATATGGCTACTATAGTCTTTATTCCTCAGATTATGATTCTAATGATTTTACTTATGTTTAGATTGTACTTCTACTGAATTTGATACTGCTATTTTTTATTTGCACTATTATGACTATAAAAGATTAAAATATTTTATATGTCAAAGTATATTTTTTAAAGCAAAGTTATTTTATATATTCTGGTCCTTAATGTGTAGATGTTTCTTAGCAAAAAATATCTATTTTTAAGTCCTAGCAAAAACGTCTTAATGTATGCATGTTTTTAGAAAAAATAACTTGGAAAAATATGTTTTCCTGAGGCTATTCTGTAGATGATATAAATGAACTGTCTGGTATTAGTGACTAAAAGTATTTAAGCACAAAACTGGGTATATAAATGATAATTTATTCGGTACAGTTGATGGATATTAAATGATAAATGCTAAATTTTAAAATATTATAAACTATAAAAATAATCATACAATTCCCTAAAATTAAAGACTTAGGAAATGTTTAAAAGTAAATTTTATTTAAAATAAAATGTATTCATCTGCTAGGGCAAAATATTTGTCAATACATTGGAAAATTATTTCATAAGCATTTACTATGTTCACGATATGAGGATGATGAAATTTCCTACTCCTAACCCTTGTTTTTTGTTCTTTCTGAAATGCTAAAAGGTTTTATTAGTTAACTGAGAGAAATCTCTACTCTCTTTTCAGGAAGAATGAAATAAGAAGTTTTACAAGACATTGACAAAATGCTATATGGGAGAAAGGTGATTCAATTCGCTGGCCTTTCCCATTCTGGAAGTCTTCAACATGATTCACTTTTACTCATTTTTACTTAAATATTTCCCCTAACTTGCCAGCTCTCTCATTTAATACTTTAATGTTCATATTGTTATACTTACTAGGCCCAGTATATTGTTGTATTTGTTCTACACAATACAATTTAAAATAAAAAATAACCACATTTTTCAAAGTTAGAGCATGACCAGTTAAACTGAAGAGATAAACATAAATAAGTGATAAAAAACACTGTGGAAAAATGAACATTTCATGAGGGTTGTTCTTGAAGACAGAAATACTTACTGGATAAACAAAAAAACCCTCAAGGATCACACTTTTCTTTGGAGGTTAGAATAGTTCACACCCATCAGTGCTCAGGGCTTACTCCCGGCTCTGTGCTCAGGGATCGCTACTGGTGAAGCTCAAGAAACCATATGTGGTGCGAGGGATCAAACCAGCTTTGATCTCATGTAAGAAAAGTGCCTTAAATTCTGTACCATTTCTCTGGTCCAAGGGTTATACCTTTCTAACAAGATTCAAGATTTTATATTTCTTTAGTAAAATAATGTCATTTCTAAAACTTCAGCGATGCATTTATAACCTACAATATCATTATTATTTGCATTTAAATAACATTTGCAACTTAATTATTAAAGTCTGTACAAACCTATTTTATATGTAAATTAGGTGTTGCCAATTTTTTTGTCCAAAAGAATGACCTTAAAAAAATCTCCTTGAGACTTAATGCAGAACCTGGAAGCTTGGAGCAGAAAAGTGAACGGACCATGCGTTAATCCAGGCCATCAAGTCTGCCAGAGGAGAAAGGGTGTTGCCCCATTCGCCCTCTCTTCTCTGGAAAGAAGGATGGCGGCTGCATGGGAGCCTTGTGGACAGCAGGTATGAGCCGGGGGAGTGGGGGCGACTAAAACCTCATGGGAAGGGGGGCGTTCCGGTCCGTCCTTCACGCCCTACCTAGGTCACCAGTTGCCCCCCGCGAGCGGCTCTCCAGCACGGCCACGGCCCCAGAAGCACAAGGACTTAATGCAGAACCCGACAGCTTGGAGCAGAAAAGTGAACGGACTATGCGTTAATCCAGGCCATCAGGTCTGTCCGGAGGGGAAAGGGTGTTGCCCCAGTCGCCTTCTCCTCTCTGGAAAGAAAGATGGCGGCCGCATTGGAGCCTTGTGGACAGCAGGTATGAGCCGGGGGAGTGGGGGCGACTAAAACCTCATGGGAAGGGGGGCGTTCCAGTCCGTCCTTCACGCCCTACCGAGGTCACCAGTTGCCCCCCACGAGCGGCTCTCCAGCATGGCCACAGCCCCAGAAGCACAAGGACTTAATGCAGAACCCAGCAGCTTGGAGCAGAAAAGTGAAAGGACTATGCATTAATCCAGGCCATCATGTCTGCCCGGAGGGGAAAGGGTGTTGGTCCCTTCCGCCCTCCTCCCTCTGGAAAGAAAGATGGCGGCCACATGGGAGCCTTGTGGACAGCAGGTATGAGACGGGGGAGTGGGGGCGACTAAAACCTCATGGGAAGGGGGGCGTTCCAGTCCGTCCTTCACGCCCTACCGAGGTCACCAGTTGCCCCCATGAGCGGCTCTCCAGCACGGCCACAGCCCCAGAAGCACAAGGACTTAATGCAGAACCCAGCAGCTTGGAGCAGAAAAGTGAAAGGACTATGCATTAATCCAGGCCATCATGTCTGCCCGGAGGGGAAAGGGTGTTGGTCCCTTCCGCCCTCCTCCCTCTGGAAAGAAAGATGGCGGCCACATGGGAGCCTTGTGGACAGCAGGTATGAGCCGAGGGTGTGGGGGCGACTAAAACCTCATGGGAAGGGGGGCGTTCCGGTCCATCCTTCACGCCCTACCGAGGTCACCAGTTGCCCCCCGCGAGCGGCTCTCCAGCACGGCCACGGCCCCAGAAGCACAAGGACTTAATGCAGAACCCAGCAGCTTGGAGCAGAAAAGTAAACGGACTATGCGTTAATCCAGGCCATCAGGTCTGTCCGGAGGGGAGAGGGTGTTGCCCCGGTCGCCTTCTCCTCTCTGGAAAGAAAGATGGCGGCTGCATGGGAGCCTTGTGGACAGCAGGTATGAGCCGGGGGTGTGGGGGCGACTAAAACCTCATGAGAAGGGGGGCGTTCTGGTCTGTCCTTCACGCCCTACCGAGGTCACCAGTTGCCCCCCGCGAGCGGCTCTCCAGCACGGCCATGGCCCCAGAAGCACAAGGACTTAATGCAGAACCCAGCAGCTTGGAGCAGAAAAGTGAACGGACTATGCGTTAATCCAGGCCATCAGGTCTGTCCGGAGGGGAAAGGGTGTTGCCCCAGTCGCCTTCTCCTCTCTGGAAAGAAAGATGGCGGCCGCATGGGAGCCTTGTGGACAGCAGGTATGAGCCGGGGGAGTGGGGGCGACTAAAACCTCATGGGAAGGGGGGAGTTTCGGTCCGCCCTTCACGCCCTACCGAGGCCACCAGTTGCCCCCCACGAGCGGCTCTCCAGCATGGCCACAACTCCAGAACACAGAAACCAATTTCTTAACTATCTGACTTTCAGTAGAAATACTTCCAGGGTCAATAGGTAAAATAGCAGAAATCCAAAACCAACATTTAATTCTTGAACCCAGCTGCAGAAAGCAAATCACTTCACAATGCTTTGTCAGCATGTCTGATTCTGGGTGGGGGTGGTAAACTCTAAATAAGAGTGGTGAATCTTTTATTGAAACAATGAATCTAATCAAAGCAGATAGAGTGTTAACTAGAATTCATCTGCCCCACAGGGACTGGGAGGGGTGGGGGACGGGGTTTTATTGGGGTTCTTCATGGTAAAAAATAAGTTTTGGTAAAGGGAAATGTGCTTGATATTTGCATGACTGAGACCTAAACCTGAAAGCTTTGTAACCTTTCCCATGGTGATTCAATAAATAAATAAATAAATTTTAAAAAAATCTCCTTGATTAATGTAGAAAAGTGAATATCGTTCTTGGGAACTCAGACTTTATTTCTAACACGTGAGAAATCCTAAGAGATATAAACTGAGACAAGGCTATACAGGATAAGTTAAAAAGCACTAAATCTCTGTCTTTCATTCTCTTCTTTCAGATACTATAGTTTTCAATTAAATATGTCTAAGTCTAAATTTTTTTTCACTTCCCTAGAGAATGCATGTGATTAGAAATCAAAAAAAGAAGAGCCGGAGTGATAGACTGCTTGACTTCCATGCAGCCAACCAGTTGGATACCAGACACTATAGAAGATTCCCCAAGCACTGCCAGGAGGAGCCCTGACCACAGCACCCCCCTCCAAAGGAAATCAAAACAAAATAAAAGATACATGATATAATGCCTTGCTCCAAAGATTGTATTCATTTGCCCTATCCACACCTCTACTCTATTCTGCATATGTAGTCACTTAAGTTGTTTTCTTGTAAATGCTTTTTGTACAATTTTATGCAAATATAATGAAGATACTATTTCCCCCCTTTTAAACAAAGACAGCAATTTTACATAGACACTGCTATTTCATTATGTTTATTTTAGACTTAATACACTCTGTCAGTCTTGTTATATTCCAATGTACCAACATATCTGTTTATTTAACCAGTCTCCTGAACACTTTTTTGGTTTGCAATCTTTTACTGAAATGCATATATAATTTTGTCTATGTGCAGACCTATCTGCAAGTTCCCAGAGCAGAAAATCATACTTTTAAGAGCTTTTATCAGTTCTGCAGGGAACATACCATTCTACACATTTTCTGGCAATGAGAGGCCTGACTCCCTGCAGGAATCTAAATTTAATTTTTAAAATTAAAAAGAAAATTTTTGAAAAGAAGTTGATTAGATAACGTACTCAAAGATACAGGGACCGGCAATAGTGTGCATGGAGGCAAGGAAAATAATGATCGTTTACCATATTTTGTTTTGGAGGGACTTCCCAAGGGGGACTCAGGGGTCCCTTAACCACTCCAGCAGTATTTGTTCCTCACTGGCGGCCCAAATGCACTGCTGCTCTAGTCCCTTGATTCAAGAAACCACGAGGTACTGGGGATATAATACATGTTGAACCCATAACCCTCTCCTATCTCTCTAGTCTCGAGATCATTTAATTTTTACTTTGGTAGAGAATAGTGTCTCCACTATGGTTTTTACTTACCCGGTCCTTAATTTTTTCAGTTAGGAATGGTTTGATCATTGAAAAGACAGCATGGAAAATCACAGGCTCATTTATCAAATGAATACCACGAACTTTTAATGGGAAGGAATCCTTTTGAAAATCAAAAAGAAAACATTTGTCAATATATATATATATATATATATATATATATGTATACTCCTATTAAAGTTTTCTCTTAGTATACTTCATAAAGTTACAATAATACCTAGAGTACAATTTTATTTTCAAAATTATTTATATAATCAGCAAAATAACCTAATCTATAATTCACTGACACAAATCGCCCTTACAGGTATTCCCATACTACAAACCATATTTCAACGCATTCAAATGGCCTAGAATGGAACGAACAGGGTGAGAGACTGTCTGAGTTCATCATGTCAACCAAGACCATGCATGGTAACTCACAATTCCAGAAGGCCGAATCTAAACGTTAGACATGGGAGTCTCACGGTGGACGGTTCCACAACGAAATTGACCACAACATATTCAATCGACAGTTTTGCCTGACCAATGTCGTTGTTGTCTCAAAATTCCAAACGGGATCAGACCACTGTCTCCCTCATGCAAAATTCTACTTCACAGAGCAGGGAGAAAGGGCTGCAAAGTTTAAGAAGAGAACTCCCAGAACGACCACCAACTGAGAGCTCTTTGGCACTATTGCAGAAACATGGGAAGATGCCATTGTTGACATCATTGACGAGGAATACAATCAACTGGTTCAGCACCTCCATGATTGTGCAAGAAACGCCAAGAGAGAGAGAGCCACAAAAAGATGCCTGTCTTCGAAAACTCTTGAGCTCATTCACCAACGTGGTTTGGTGCATGCCTCAGGCAACCGCAAGCAAACATCCGAGCTTGCAAAGCAGTGAAGAGAAGCAATAAAGGAAGACCTCAAAGGGAGAAGAGCAACAGTGCTGGCAGATGTGGCAGAAGCTGGGAAAAGCATTCGCCATGCCCGCCTGTCCTTTGCCAACTACAAGACCAAGATGACTGCCCTCTGACGTCTTGATGGATCTATCACATCTTCCAGAAGGGTAATGGAGAAGATTATCCATGACTTCTACTCGGATCTCTTTGATAGCCACGTCCACCTGCCCACATACCAAATTCCACAGGATGGATATGTCATTCCCAACGTTCACCCTTCTGAAATCCGACAGGCCATTTTATCGGTAAAGAATTGAACAGCATCTGGCCCAGACAAGGTCAGACCCAAACACCTGAAGAACCTGCCATCAGTACTCATCAATACACTGGCTTAACTCTTCACACGCTACCTGTCTGAATGCAAGGTTCCATCCCATTGGAAAACCAGCAGGACTGTACTACTGTACAAGAAGGGAGACATCCACAACATTGGCAACTATAACCCGATCTGCCTGTTGTCTGTCGTCAATAAGCTGTTCACTCAAGTCATCCTGAATAGGATTAGTAGAACACTAGATGAAGAACAACCATACCAGCAAGCCGGTTTCTGAAAAGGATTTAGCACAATCGACCATATCCACACGATAACCAAGCTCATTGAGGTTTCTCAGGAGTTCAAGATGCCACTCTGTCTAACGTTCATTGATTTAAAGAAGGCCTTTGATTATGTTGAGACTGAAGTGGTCATCGAGGCCCTAGCCAAACAGGGCGTTCAAAGTCAATAAATACATCAGGATGCTCCATGAGCTGTATTGCAGATTCACTACCAGAATCTCACCATTCTACAGGGAGGTGATCATTGATGTCAAGGGAGGGGTTAGGCAGGCTGATACTATTTCACCGAAACTCTTCAGTGCCACCCTTGAGAACGTCATGCGACAATTGTAATGGGAAGGAATGGGAATGAAGATAGACAGTCAGCAACTACACCACCTCTGCTTCGCTGATGACATTGTTCATATAACACCAAATATTAGCCAAGCGGCACAAATATTAGCTGACTTCAACCGTGAGTGTGGAAGTGTTGGACTACAGCTGAATCTAACAAAGACAATGTTTATGATAAATGCTCTTGTTCCTGACGTTCCATTCACTCTCAATGGGACGAACATCTCCGAATGCAACAGTTATGTTACCTAGGTCGAGAAGTCAACATGGCACCTAAGTTGTGCAGGAGAAAGAGAGTGGCTTGGAACGCCTTCAAGAACGTCGAAGAAATAGCTAAGAGGATAAAGAACCTCTGGCTCTGAGTACATCTTTTCAATTCCACTGTTCTTCCTGCATTAATATACGCCTTAGAGACCTGGGCCCTATGCAAACATGATGAGAACGCTATTCAGGTCTCCCAAAGAGGAATCGAAAGAGCTATGCTTGGAGTATCACGCTTCACTCAAATGAGAGAAAGAATTTGAAGTTATGACCTTCATCGACAGTCAAGAATCAGGGATGCTGTCTCATTTGCCAAGGCATCAAAAATCAGATGGGCTGGACACATAATTAGACTTGGAGATGACCGCTGGACTAGAGTCATTACCAACTGGATTCCACAGGACGTCAAAAGATCACGTGGCTGCCCACCTATGAGATGGTCAGACTTCTTCGTTAAGACCTAAATGATCAATTTGAGGCTCTTCATGTTCCTTGCCATTGGGCTACATTAGCATGCGACAGGGATGAATGGAGATGTTGCTGGCACCCGCTTGAGTGAATCGATGAATAACAGGATGTCAAGTGATCAAGATTTATAAAAGATGTATAAGAAGCTTTCACTTGGTTCAGAGACACAGATCAAAGACTAAGCACATGCTTTGGGTACAGAGGTCAGGGCTCCCATCCTGGAACTACTTATTGTCCCTCAAAGACCACCCAAAGCAACTCCCAGTTACAGAATTGGGAGTAGACTCTGAGCTCCTCTGGGTGTGGCTCCCCTGTAAAAAATAAAAGTTTTCACTTTATAACTTAGGCAACCTATTTTAAGGGAGACTGTATCCTTACATAAGTTAGATAGAAATCTATTCCCAAGCACAAATAAAGTTTGGGGGGCTAGGGGAGATCACATGTGTCTGCTCCTGTCACTGCTCAAAGGAATATGTGGTGATGAGGACTGAACCTGGGCCTCCAACAGACAAAGTAAGAATTTAGTCCATTGAACTCTCTCTCTCCAGTCCCACATACAAATACGTTTTAAGAAATCAACAATTTGGGGCTAGAGAAATAGCACAGTGGGTAGAGCATTTGCCTTGCACGCACCAGGCCCAGGTTCGATTCCCGGTATCCCATATGGTCCCCTAAACACCGCCAGGAGTAATTCCTGTGTGCATGAGCCAGGAGTAACCTCTGTACATCATTGAGTGTGACCCCCCCAAAAAAGAAAAAAAAATAAAAAATAAAAAATTTGATTAAAGGGGGAATCATAAAAGTTGAAAAAATAAACACACTTTAAACATGTAAGTCATTAACAAAAAAAAAGATACAGACTTAACGACTCGGTGAGAGAAAATAACACAGAAGGCTCAACTAGCAACAGCTCAGTGAAGCCTCACTGACTTGAAACCCTTCACTAACTTGACTCCATTGTTAGGTATAACAGTTAATACAAACTTTCAATTGAAGTATTGTTTGATAATTCCATTTACTGTAGGATAACACTTTTGTCCTTCCTCGGTTTATCGGGTCACAGCCAACCCAGTGCTCCTGAGTCACTCCCATTCTTTTGTTAATTTGTAACTACTTCTCTATGCTCTTTTCCCCAAACAGTTAATCAGCTTATTCCCCTAATCAGATTCTGTTAATTTGTAAGGTCAGATCTTTCTAGGACACTGAACTTATATTGTAAGTTAATATTGCCTTTCTCCTCTCCTTATGTCTTTTGAATAGTTTTCTTTAAGTCAATGTCCTTTTGTATAGACACAAGAAGACAATTAATATTATGCTTTTGTAACTTGGGATTTAATTGGCTTTGAATATTATTCATTCCAGGGCATCTGCTTTCTCAGCTTTAGCCTCAATTGCCCTCACTTTCTAGCTCCCCAAAAGCAGGGTCCTGACGAGGGATTGGATGGAACCAGGGCAAGCGGTAAACTATGTGCTACCCTGGCATCGAGATGGGCCTGGCCAAAGCTCCACAATTCTTAGCTATAAGTTAAGAGCTTGATCAGGACAAATGCTGTCATGATTCAAAAGTAACAACGAGACTAGGACTCTGCTAGGGATAGGAAAGACTAATCTAGCCTGAGCACTCTAGTCTGAGATCGAGATGACCCCAGGAGAGCAATTCTATAATCTTAATGCATCTCTTACTGTGTCCATACAAAATGATTAATATTACGAATGCTTCTAAGTTTGTTGGACAAGGAGAGGAGAAAAACATTCATGGGATTCCACCCTTGGGTGGGTGGCCCTGCTGAAAGAGAATCTGTCCTGGAAGCAGCATCCCCTAAGGGGAAGAAATTTAACCCAATTGATTGTGACCACACCCATGTGTAAGCCCAGCCCCTCAAGGTAGTGATGATTTAACTAGACTGTAAGAGTGGGCTGTGGGGAGAAGATCAAGTGCGAGATCCAGAGCCGGAGCCAGGAGTGAGGGGTTCCAGATTGGCCCGGTGAGAAGGAGAGAGAGAGAGACAGGAGTGAATGGGAATGAGAATGGAATAAATGGCATCTGATCAATCAACTGGCTTGGCCCTCGTATCCTCCGCCATCTGCCCTAGGGCCGGGGCCCCCATCAAAGATTTTCTACAACCTACCATTTCATTGTAGCAATGTAAACAATGAAAACAATAAAATAAATGCATAAGTGTGCCAAAGAAGCTGACTTGGGGAGTAGGTAGGAAACTGGGGACAATAATAGAAGGAGGGACCACTAGGGGTGGGATTGGCTTTGAAAACTGAATGCCCAAGACAACCATATTATGAACAACTTTGTAAACCATGTTTACATTTTTATATTTAAAAAATAAGATAAAAAAGATACAGGTTTATTTAGAAAGTTTTAAATTTTAGTTCACGGTCCTCCCGTTGTTCATCAATTTGCTCGAGCAGGCCCAGTAACGTCTCTATCATGAAACTTGTTGTTACTGTGTTTGGCGTATCGAATACGTCACAGGTAGCTTACCAGGCTCTGCCAGCGGGCAGGTTCTTTCTGTATATAATTTTATTCCACTTTAATCCATTCACATAATATTTAAAGTATCATTAAGTCTAACAACGTTTCAACAGTCAACAGAGGTGTCATAATTTAACTAACTTTTTCTCCACTTCTGAACAAACAAATTATTTCTAACTACCTGGGACCTCTAGGATCACCAGATGCTGAGACAGGAGGGGAGAAGGATGGGGAATGTGGTAAAGTGATTTAAAATGTCTCACTGATCAATGATTTATCTGTCCAGCCTCTAAAGAGAAAATTTTAGTGAAATATAGTCAGCACATCATTGTTTACACATATAAAATATGTGGTTACTAATTGTGAACATATTTTCAGTTTATTGCAATGTTTAAGTGAAATAATACTTTAATTCCTGTTAGCATTATTGAATCTATGTATCATTTAAATTTTTTTAATATCCTCCTTATTCTACTTCTGAGGCATATCAAATACTCTCGGTAGCTATAGCACAGCGGTAGGGTGTTCGCCTTACAAGCGGCCAACATGGCCGACCCGAGTTCGATTCCTCCGCCCCTCTCGGAGAGCCCGGCAAGCTACTGAGAGTATTCGATATGCCAGACACAGTAACAACAAAGTCTCCAATGGAGACGTTACTGGGCCCGCTCGAGCAAATCGACGATCAACGGGAGGGCCTTTACCTTACCTTTACCTTTATCCTCCTTATACTATACCTTCTTTCTATATGACATATACCAAAATTTAAATTTATTATTTGGAAATACTAGCCCCAATAATTAAAATATATACTTACTGTAAGAACAGCAGCAATCTTCTTGGCTACAGATGGGCTAATTTGAAGAGCATGAGAAAATTGCCAACCTTCCAAGTCAAAGACAGCCTTGATACCATTTCGTTGTGTTTCAATTTCCTGTACAATAAGCTCGGATGTAATTAGGCTTACACGAAATACATCATAAGCTGTGAAAACCTTTGGATCCCAGTATGCTAAAAAAAATTAAATATTATATCAGCATTGTGTAAATAATCATAAAGATTTACAAAGGAAAATTATTTTCAGACTTAAATGATCAGAAACAGTTAACCCAGTGTGGGTTAAGAAAAGACTTCTCTGGGGAGAAAGAAATATTACAATGTGCTGAGCTTTACCTACGTTTCATGTGGGAGGCCTAAATTCTATCTCCAGCAACTCTGGTCCTTGAAGCACTGCAGGGAGCAAACCACAAGCACAAAACTAGGAATAAGCCCCTGATCACCAGGTGTTTGTATGAAAAATAACCCCCCCCCCAAAAAAGAGAGAAGGGAATTGAATGTTAGATCCAAAACCAAAAAATACAACACACTGAAAAAAACATTGGATGATCATATCATGACACTGACTTTCTTAATATATTCCAGTATTTCAATCTAATGGCAAGGGAAACAAAAACCAAAACAGCCATAGGATTACACTAAATTTTTTAAATTTCGGAAAACAAAATAACTATCACTAAATCAAAAATACATGTTATTGAGTGGGAGAAAATATTGTGGCATCACACTTTTTAAAAAAAATTTTGCTTTTTGGGTCATACCCAGCTATGTTCAGGTGTTACTCCTGGCTCTACACTCAGGAATCACTCCTTGCGGTACTTGGGGGACCATATGGGATGCTGGGAATCAAACCCTGGGCAGCCATGTGCAAGGCAAATGCCCTACCCACTATGCTATCGCTCCAGCCCCCTGCCATCACACATTTGACAAAGTGACGATGGGTTAATATAAAAGACATATAAGGAGATCACAAAACTCAAGGAAGGAAAAAAATACCATCAAAGTTGTGGAGAAGGGGCTGAGGAGAGAAAACTTGAAGGACTGAAAAGCAAGTTTTGCATATGGAGTCCCAGCATCACAAAGTCAGGTCCTAGCACTGAACCATCAAAACTGTACACTTGGGTCAAGCATAATCATAGTGAGGAGCACTTCCCCCTCTATGAAAATGCAAAAAAAAGCTAAAGAGATACATTCTTAAATACATACAGGGCTCATCATTTTCATAAAGATGAAAAGTTATTCATTATTAAATGTCATCAGGGAAATGCCAATAAAAATAACAAGATTACGTTATCTCACATCTGTGAGAGTGGCCTATATCAAAAAGAAGACAAGTAACAAGCATTGGCAGGGTGTGGAGAAAATAAATCTTCCTATACTTTGACAAGACTGAAAACTGGTTCAACCTCTCTGGAAAGCAGTAAGGAGATTTCTCAAAATATTACAAATAGATCTATTATGATCTAGCAATTCCACTTCTATTTATTTGTTCAAAGAACACAAAAGCACTACTTTGAAAAGCTCTATACACACCTGTATTTATTGCAGCACTGTTTACATAGTCAAATCCTGGAAACAATACTTGAGTGTACTATATGCATGGAAAGATACAGAAAATGTAGCAGGCATGCACAACAGAATGCTACTCAACCATAAGAAAAGAGGAAATCATAGCTTTTTCAACAACATGGATAGAATTAGAGGGGCTTTTACTCAGTGAACTAGTATGAAAAAGAAAGACATACCAAATGATCTCATTTACATGTGGGATATGAAGAAGCAAAGCAAGGGAACAGACAAGACCAAATTGGAATAAACAAATAAATAAATAAAATGAAATAAAATCAACTCTTGAACTGAGACTGTGAAGCTGAGGTTACTACAGGGAAAGAGATGAGGGATCAGAGCAGAGGGTGTCAAAAGGATGGAGAAAGAGGGGTGGGGAGGTGGTATTATATTGGTGTGCCTAGTGTGGTGACACACATTCTGAAGAGGTAGAAAGAAAACAGTACTGGTTTTTGTTTTTTTGGGGTTTTTTTTTGTGGGTGTTTTTTGGTACCAGGCATCAAATTCAAGTTTGTGACCACATGCAAGGCAAATTCCCTATACACTGTACAGTCAGTTTGGCCTCTAATATGGTAACTTATAAACATCCAGTCTTGTAATCCTACAGTACCTCAAAATGCCTCTTCTGCAAACCACAGTACCCAAAAGGAGAGAGAGAACAAAAGGGAGTGCCCTGCCACAGAGGCAGGGTGGAATGGGGGATGGGGGGGTGGGAGGAATACTGGGATTGGTGGGGGTGGAGAATGGGCACTGGTGGTGGGATGGGTACTCGATCATTGTATAACTGAAACCCAAGCACAACAACTTGTAAGTCTACAACTGTACCTCGTGGTGTTTCACTAATAAAACAAAAAATAAATTTAAAAAATTAAATTAATTTTTAAAGGATAAATAAAAATAAATGTACAAAGATCGTGAAATTAATAGTAAATCATATTGGTAGTATAAGAACTTATACCTGTTTTTCTTATGTCAAATCCGTAGTAAAAGGTTTATAAAACAAAGGGCTGATAGTGTGGGAGCAGAGAGATATCAGAGCAGGAGAGCATTGCCTTGCATATTGCCAACACGGGTTTGAGTCCTAATGCCAAGTGTGATCCCTGAGTGCCGAGCTAGGAGTATGACATGAGCATTGCTGGGTGTGGTCCAGAAAGAAAACTGGGGCAAGGGAGAAGGTGTTGGTGGTGAAGAGAATTAATGCAGAGTATGTTTCGTTGCCAGGTGAAACTATAGCCCAAAACACAGAGGAAGGTCAAAGATGAAAATATTTGCCTCTTCTGGCCAAGCTCATCGGTGTTGGAATGAGTAAAATGTGATTTGGAATAAAACTGTCAAAATGACTGGTAAGGGATATGCATAAGGAACAAGGCAAGCAGGCAGACTCATCTCTCCAATGGTTTCAGAGAACAAACAACACAAAGAGTCATATTTCTATCTGCTAAATTAATAACTGTGGGCTTTGGAATGCAGAGTCAAGGAGTCACTCGGGTAGGTGATCCACACCCAGAAGAAACAGGAAGTGCCTGTAACTATGTTAAGAAAAGGAGTTATTGGCACTTATTCACACCTCTCACACCTTCCCAGCTATCCTTGACACAGTCCATGACTACAGAAATGACAGGCAAGCAGATATCTTAATAAAGCATACACATCCTCTAAAAATTATAGTATATAAAATATGTACACACAGATAAGAGAGGAACCAATCTCAATAGATGAAAGCCTGTGAGTCATTAAAAAAAAGAAGCAAAACAATTTCAGTGTGGGGAAGAATACTGTAGTTTGCCATTTTTTTCTTGTGTTTTTTTTTGGGGGGGGGCTTTTTTTTTCTGCCTTTAAGTGCTCGGGGCCTTTTGGCTCTGTGGTCAGGAGTTGCCCCTGGTAGTAATCTGAAATGATATGTCATGCTGGGAATTGAACCAGGAATAGCAGAAGAAGTCAGATAAAAGCAAGCACCTTACCCCCTATACTATTTTCTAATCCTACAGACTATTATTTAAAATAATCAGATATCAACTTGAAAATAAAATAACGGTTACTACCACAAATTTCAGTTGATGAGACAACTGACCAAAAAAGGACACAGCGAATGGGTTAACAATGGTTTGGAATATCAAGCTGAGGAAATTCTTTAATGATTCACAGAAATGCTAAGAGTTCATAGGTATGAATAACAAGCTTAGAGATAAAAAAAAAACATATTTAGGAGTTTTAACATTCAATTGATAAAAGTTCTGAAAATCATTAATAGAGAACATGGGACAAAGAAAAGAGGAGTACAGTAGAGGAAAAAAAAGCAAGTTTTCAGATTAAAGAGTCTTTGGAGTCCATTTCGAAGAATGAAATGGAAAGAAAAAGTAGATAACTAGGTAAAATTTAAAAATATCAAGTTTTAGGTTAGACTACTAGGTAAAACGGTTGTAGATATTGAGATAGAGAACACTAAAAGAGAGTTGTTTGGGGAGTAAAACATTAGTTTTGGCTCTAATGAAATGGTGACAGCTGGAATAAGGAGCTGGTGGTACGAATCCTTGTGGGCAAATATCCTAGGATTGAAGATATATATCTCAGAGTTACTGGGGCACATATAACAACCTAGGACAAAAGATTATCTCTATTACAGAAGAGAGATAAAGTAATAATAGAGAAGGCTGAAAACAATGTCCTCAGGAGAGTGTGGCCTCAGACTAAGGGAATGGAATATCTGAACAAAGAGAAAGTGGCATGCTGTGTTGAGAAACCAAGAAATGTAGAACTAATTATGGTTATTAGAGAAAAGGACGTATGTTATGGACATTTTATTCTGCAGTGAATTGAGAACTATGAGAAGAACACTAGTTTAAACCCTGGCAAGGCTTCTGGCGGTGCTTGGGGAACCATATGGGATGCCAAGAAATTTGGTTGAGAATGATAGGAGAGATAACAGGAATGAGCTTTTGCTTTATTCTGGATTACAAACCTTAGCAGATAGTATGTATGTATGTATGTATGTATGTATGTATGTATGTAGTTCTTTCCAGCTCTCTGCTTGGGGCTTAATCCGGTTGATGGTGCTTTGGGAACTATGAAGTGCCAGGTAGGGCTGGAGTGATAGCACAGCAGTAGGGCGTTTGCCTTGCGTGAGGCCTGCTGGCTGAGCCAGGTTCGATTCCTCCACCCCTCTCGGACCTCTCGGAGAGCCCAGCAAGCTACCAAGAGTATCTCGCCCACACGGCAAGCCTGGCAAGCTACCTGTGACTTATTCAATAGGCCAAACACAGTAACAACAAGTCTCACAATGGAGATGTTACTGGGCCCACTCGAGCAAATCGATCAACAACAGGAGGAGAGTGCCACAGTGCTATTGAAATGCCAGGGAGAGAATCTGCTTCTCCCACATGTGGAGCATGTTCTATCCAATTACCTATCTCTCCGACCTCTTAATAGATATTTTTTTTTTACTTTTTAGTTAAAAAAAAAAAACAGCCGACCTCTACTACCCAACCATCGCCACACTCCAGGCCACTTTCCAGGACCGACACATTATAGGACACTCTCTACCCATTTTCTAGAATTACTACATTATATCTGATGGGGTTCAAACAGTAGGCAACAAATCATAGAGAAAAATATATAAATATATGCCTCTCAGAGAACCTGGCAAGCTACCAAGAGTATCCCGCCCACACAGGCAGAACCTGGCAATCTCCCTGTGGCGTATTTGATATGCCAAATACAGTAACAACAAAAGGTCTCATTTCCCTGACCCTAAAAGAGCCTCCAATCATTGTGAAAAGACAAGTAAGAAGAGGTTGCTAAAAATCTCAGGCTTAGGAAGAATAGAGACATTACTGGTGCCTGCTCAAGTAATTGATGATCAATGGGATGACAGTGATACAGTGAACATTTTAGTGAAACAGAATAGTTTACTGTTGTTTGTTTGTTTGTTTGTTTGTTTTTCACCACAACATTGTTCAGGGCTGACTCCTGGCTCTGCACACTGCGATTATTTCTGGCAGTGTGCAGGGAGTCATATAGGATGCAGTGAGAACCCTGGTCAGCCATGAGCAGGTTAAGCACTGTACCCAGAGTGACCTTTTGTTGTTTTTGTTTGTGTGTTTGTTTATTTTTGGCCACACCTGACAATGCTCAGGGATTACTACTGGTGGTGCTCTGGGGGATCGTATGGGATGCCAAGAAACAAACCTGTGTAGGCTGCATGCAAGGCAGGAGCCGTGGTCACTCTTTCCCACCCTTGCCTTTTGCTTTTAAAGGACTTTATATTCCTGGTTTTGAGTACTCAGTCTCTGGATAACCCAACTCAAATATACCATCCTACTTCAGATATTGGCTGAAAGATAAAATAATGGAAAGTAGAAAAAAAATTACTGAGTGCAACTTCAAAACTTGATACTGATCTTCAAAAATCTATACTAATGGGGCTGGAGTGATAGAGTAGAGAGAGCGTTTGCCTTGCATGGGGTCAACCTGGGTTCTATCTCCAGCAGCCCATATGGTCCCCTAAGCACCACCAGGAGTGACTCCTGAGTGCAGAGCCAGGAGTAACCTCTGAGCATCTCTAGGTGTGACCCAAACCCCTTCCCCCCAAAAAATTGATAACCAACCAACATGGTGGTCTAGACCTGTGCTGTCAAATAATATGGCCAGTAGGCACTTCAGGTGGTTTAAATTTTAATTAGTATTAAATAACATTGAATTTAATTTAGTTTTAAAATCTCACATGCTACACATACTGTAAAATTATTCCACCATAGAAAACTCTATGGAAGAGTGCTAGTCCAAACTCCTCTTGAGAAAAACCAAAACATGCCCTAAATTTTAAATTCCTTCACAAGAAACTATTTAACATTTATTGTATGCTGTAATTATGCCAGCTAATATTCTGTTAAAGTAGAATAATATGTATTACAAGATATTAATGCTCAGAGTGCCCTATGAGATAGGTTTTCACTCTTTCTGACTTACAGTTGAGAAAACTGGAATAACCACTATGTAGACTTCCAATGTAGCTCAAATGTGAAGAATTCAGATTTCAAAGCAAGTAACATGCCCTCCAACCTACATTCCTAAGTACTAGGAATTAATTCCTAAAACTTAGTAGTCACTGTTAAAATTTGCTTGTACTGAAGTAGCATAGTCCTGAGTCTCAAACAGCATAAAATGCTATCCTCTGGCTTATTGGCTAATAATGGAAACAACTTCTTTTCACCTTGGGTTGTCCATCGTGGCTGGAAAACGGCTCTGTGCATTTCCTCATTGCCTTTACTACACAGAGGCAGAGCCAAGGAAAAGTGGTCATGTTGATGTTCTACAAAAATACTTTACCACAATTTTTCTATTTTAGCTCCTGATATCTCCTCAATTAAATTAAATAAATTACCTATTAAATGGGCTGGAGCAATAGCATAGCGGGTAAGGTGTTTGTCTTGCATGTGGCTGATCCGGGTTCGATTCTTCCGTCCCTCTCAGAGAGCCCAGCAAGCTACCAAGAGTATTCCCACCCACACGGCAGAGCCTGGCAAGCTACCATGGCATATTCAATATGTCAAAAACAGTAACAACAAGTCTCACAATGGAGAGGTTATTAGTGCCCGCTCGAGCAAATGGATGAACAACGGGAGGACAGTGCTACAGTGTGACCTATTAATTAATTTAATTAATTAATTTTATTTATCTATTAAATTAAATCAATTACCTATTTAATGAAGTAAAATAAATTAAATACTTATGTTTTCTTGGAATGCATAAATATTTATCTTTCTTTTTCTTTTTTGGGTCACACCTGGCGATGCACACAGGTTCCTCCTGGCTCTGCACTCAGGAGTTACTCCTGGCGGTACTCAGGGGCCCATATGGGACACTGGGAATCAAACCCAGATCGGTCATGTACAAGGTAAATGTACTACCACTGTGCTATCACTCCAGCCCCAAATATTTATCTTTTTGTTTTGCTTATATACTGAATTTTTTTTCACTCTAAAATAGTGCATGCTATCTTTGAAACAAAGATATATGTATTTTTCTGAGTATTTACATTGCCAAACCTACATATTTTTCTTGATTTCATTTGGGTTTTTTGGTGGGGAGGGGTTTGGACCACACCCAGCTGTGGCCAGGACTTACTCCTGGCTGTGTTTGGATCAGAGAGGAACTCCTGAAAGGACTGAGGGGCTTATATTGATGCCAGAGACTGAACACAGGTCCACTGAATGCGAGGTAAGCACCTTATCCTCTACTACTTGACCCCTTTTCTTGATTTTATTATATTTGAGGAATTTTAATATTTCCACTAAACCTAACTTAAAATCTGAAAAACCAAACTTCTAAAAATATAAGTTAACAAAAGTACAAGAAGCTGGAGAGACAATACAGACACAGTTAGCTATGCAACAGACATAGTTAGCTATGCAGCAGACATGGTTAGATCCCTGACACTACACATAGTCCTCAATGCACTGCCAGGAGTGGTTCCTGAGCATAAAGCCAGGAGTAGCCCCAGACACCAACAGGTGTCACCCAACCCTCCCTATCCACAAAAAAGAAATATCACAATGGACTGCTCAATTCAAAGAATAGCACTGTAGCACTGTCCTCGCGTTGTTCATGGATTTGCTCGAGCAGGCCCAGTAACGTCTCCATCGTGAGACTTGTTGTTACTGTGTTTGGATATTGAATACATCATGGGTAGCTTGCCAGGCAAAGAATATAATATAAAATTTTGCCTTTTGATTCAACTTTGATGGAACTAGAGGGTGTCATATTAAACAAAATAAGTGAGAGCATAAAGGATAAATGTCAGATGACCTCAAATACATGTGTTACAGAATGAAACAAAGAAAGGGACTGGCTACCAGCCTCTGCAAACAAAAACTTGGACTCTGGCAATAGAACTTCACAATAGAGGTTACCAAACAGGAGATAGAGAAAAATGGAAGGACTAGAAATTACTCAAGAAAAGACAATGGCATGGTATCAATTGCATAAAAGTGACATATGGACAGTCAATAGAAGGTCGTTAGCACTTAGATTGTGATGCAGGTACAGTAACTTTTTAAACCAAAAACAAAAAACATTAACACAATATAAACCACGTTGCCTCAACTATAAAGGAGGAGGAGGAGGAGGAGAAGAAGAAGAAGAAGAAGAAGAAGAAGAAGAAGAAGAAGAAGAAGAAGAAGAAGAAGAAGAAGAAGAAGAAGAAGAAGAAGAAGAAGAGAGATAATTATAGACTATCACACCAATAGGAGAGAAAAAAGTGGTGTAATAACTTACCAATTCTGTAAATAAGAACTTTGCTTCCAGTTGGATCTCTGGCTCTCAGGACTCCAAGGTAACCTGCCTTTAGAAGACCAAGAATACTTCTAGGGTGTAGATCTGCACTTATTTCTGGACATTCAGATCTCCACTTAAAATAGTTTTTTAGCAACTGAAAAACAAAATTACAATATCTGTAGATAGTATACAGGCAAGCATTGCACAAAAATATAGAACTTAGACTTTCCAGATGACCTTAGTCATTTTCTCAGGTGACAATATTTCATCACAAATTGAAAGTTGAATAACTTTCATTTATCCCCTATGCTAAACAGTTGCCAAAGAAAACTGCATACAATTCTTTCCCAGTTGTTATACACAATGCCTTCTTCCAATCAAGATGTGGAATTCATTGGATTCCTTCCCCTTGAATTGGTGCTAGTATCACATCTTTGCATTGCATATGTGAGTCTTTGCTAGAAGGTAAGAGGTCCTGGAGCTTCTCTGTTTTGTTTTGTTTTGTTTTTTTTTAATGAAAAAACAACTCATGTTACAGATCTTATTATCCCCATGGCAATAGGCCTATTAAGATGGAAGCTTGACTTCATCTTTTCTGACAACTCGCGCTGAAAGTAGACTATAGATCAAACACGATGGCCACTCAATACCTCTATTGCAAACCACAACACCCAAAAGGAGAGAGAGAAAGAAAAGAATTGCCCTGCCACAGAGGCGGGATGGGGCGGGGGGATAGGGTAGGAGGGCCGGAAGGACGAATAAAAAAAAAAGATGGAAGCATGACCTGTGGATAAGTGTGGTCACGTGCACCTTCTCTGGATTCCAGGAGCAGTGAGACCCAGAAGCACATAGAATGAGGCTAAGTGTTTACTCTTTTTGGAACCCAGACCCCAGATAACCCAGAGAAAATTACTAAATGATAAGACTACAGGGAGAGAGTTCAAGAATGAGAGATCATCGAAGACAGTTTCCTGTCTGTCAAGTTCCCAATTTAATACAATGTGCACCAGAGATGAACCCTGGTTCAAACCAACAAATTTGTGTTAGTGCTATTTATATATTAATAATATTTAAATAACCACTTTTAATATTTCTTGAAGTGATACAGAATGGAAATCAACCAGGTGAATTAACTCACCTTGTTTTTTTGTTTATTTTAGTATGTACAATCTTCATGAGCTATTTTAGGCATTTGAGTTATAGCAATCAGATTACAACCCCGCTCTCATTGAACCTAATCTGGTGGTGACATCTGGGTCGTATAAACCCAGCCATGTAGAGAAAAGCTTCCTTTTCATTCTATGTAGTGATAATCTGGACATTTTTATCTCAGAGGAAAAACTCTTAAATGGAAAAAAAGCTTTCAGATTTTTCCTATTGAGAATGATTCTAAGGGGCAGACCTGTTAGATGCAGTCTAACAGGCTATTATCTTGAAGGCATGTGTCTTCTTTAACCATTTGAAAATTTTTTTGTTTAATCCCAAATGAATGCTAAATCCTGTCAAATGATTTTACTATGGCATCTATTCATATTATCATAAGACTTTTGTGTTTTGTTTATGTCATATGTTGCATGAATCGATCTATATGTGTTGAACCATTCTTGCATCTAGAGAAAATTCGATTTGGACTCAATATTTGATCCTTTTCATGTTCAACTTGTTAAGTATCTCTTGAGGATTGTTGCATCTTTTCAACAGTGATAATGCACTTTAGTTTTCTTTTTCTCTTATATTTTAAAATGTCTTCCATCTTGTTTCTGCATTAACTCAGGGTTGCACATCTAGTTACAGTACTGAGGTGTGGGGAGGTGCATGCAGGAAGGGGGAGTAGGATTCACACACTTCAGTTGCAGTGTTTCTGCAAACTTGTCTGCGGTACATGAGAGACTGAGAGATACTACAACTTGTTGTGGTCTTGGGGGTTCCAAGTGTATGAGCTGCTGTGATCAGGAATCAGATCAGTTTCTCTGCCCTTCTGCTTGCAAGGCAGGACCCCGCATCTCTGTTTTTAACTTTTGTGATATGCTTCTCTGCTTTCAGTATTAGATAATGTTATGCAAAAAAAAAACCTGATTCCACCACTTATCGCTGTAATATCAGGTAAGAACTTCAGTCCTTTGAGTGGTCTCCTCAACATCTACTGTGGAAGGTTATGGGAAAAGCATAAAGAAGCATAATGAGTGGTACTTCATATTACTACCTTTAAAATAGGGAAAGTCAAAGAAACCCAAGTACAGGCTTATGTTGAAAATAACTAGTATTTAATTTTTTTCTCAAAAACAAATAAAAATATGAGGAACTATCCTATACCACCGCTACAGTTTCTATTAAGAGAAAAATGATAAAAATCAATTTGGCTAATAGTGATATGAATTCAATCTACAGATCAATATGTCTAGATAAGAGTGAGTTGAAGGTGTCCTATTTTGAGTTTTTCTAAAAGAGCCACCAATTAAGGTCATATTCTTATGCACAAAGAATATAAACTGCAGTAGGAAATACAATAATTACACATTTAAAACTTATAGTTTAATTTTCCTTCGTGATGATTAGCATCCTCAGTGTTTCTGTAATGACAACATATTTGTTTTGGCTTGAACGAGATCTACTATTAATATAAAATTCAAGTGAAAGGTAACAACATAATTTATATTTGACTAATCATTGGAAGAGGCATAAATATTGTAGCCACAAAGTAGTAATCATGTCACATACTAATGTAAGTTTTAGCAAAGATATGTAGTAGGTTAAGCTCAAGTCTTGGGAAATTTCAGTAGCAGGGAATGATCGGAAGAAGAGAGAATCTGGTTGAACTAGGAAAGAAATGGAGGTATTGTGTTTGGAAAGGAAAAAAACTTATTTTTGTTCGGTTCTTCCTGTTTTCCTCTCTCCCTCTCTTTCTCTACCCCCCCCAATATTGTCTACCTCTCTGTGTCTTTATTCTCTTTTATTTTGCATTTAATAACATTTTCTTAACTGTTTAATTAAAAAAGAGAATTCTGCTAAGAGTTAAGTGCAACAGAGGTAAGAAAGTCAGTGTATTTGCCAACAAAAAAATAATTGGTGACCTAGATAGCAGTTTCCAAAAGCAGTAAGAACAAAAGATGCATTGTGCATTCTGATATATTCATTCCAGCCCATAAGAATTTCTCTTCCTCCTGTCTTATGGGAAATCATAACTATTAAGAGCAATTTTTTTGTTTTTTAAGTTTCCCCAGACACAGAGTCCTATTGTTCTGATTCAAATAAAATGCCAATTAAAATTAATGGTTTCTTTTTCCCATGTAATGATTAAAGTGATTCATTAACAGCTATTTATTAGAAAATAGAGATAGGACCCCTAGCTTGGTCATCGGCAGAATGCAAGGCACACAGGATGTAGTTACAAGTGCTGAAAAGTAAATTAATGCATGGATCAGCTGGATCCAAAACTTGTGAGAGATAAGAGTTAATGAGAATGAATAAAACAGGCAGAGGTTAACAATTGTTTTATTGTTGTTGATGACATTTTCCTTTTTTTTTTTTTCCGCTTTTTGTTTTGGGGCAATTCCAGGTGGTGTTCAGGGGTTATTCCTGTATCTGTACCCAGGACTAACCCCAGGCCATGCTGTGGGGGTCTGGAGGGACCAATTGTGTTACTAGAGATTCCAACCAGGGAATGCAATTTGGCTACATGCAAGGCACCTCATATCCTGAACTACCTCTCTGGCCTACAACTGGTTACTTTTCTGATTGTTATTTTAAACAGAAGAGGCATATGTCAAATATTTGGAGATTAGAAATAATACAAGTTCCCATCAGTTCAAGTTCAAATCTTTGCCCACCTTGGTAATCATGACTTCAGACAAGTTATTTACCCTTTACATTAAAATTTCTTTTAAAATGAGAAAATAATGAAGTTAATTCATGAAAATACTGATTACCAATTTATCTGGCACTCCATACGCTACTAGAATTACAAAAATATCATTAGCTCTAACTTCACATGTAAACTACAATGTGAAATTTCATAACTGAGGAACTTAGTAAGTTTACTTCATACATTTAAGTTGTGAAGGCTTTACGTTTTATTATAATAAGGGAGTTTGAGGTGAGTTGACTGACTTTATGGGTGGAAATAAATAGGTTTACACTCTATCAGAGGTCCCCAACCTTATTTGGCCTACTTCCCTTTTTGGAGTAAATAGTAATAATAATAATAATAATAATAATAATAATCACGATCACGATCATCCTGTTGTTCGTCGATGGCCTCAAGCAGGCACCAGTAAGGTCTCCTTCATCCTAGCCCTGAGAAATGCTCTTTCAGAATTAGGAGAATGAGATCCATCATTGTTACTGGTATTTGGCATATTGAGTATGCCACGGGGAGTTTACCAGACTCTGCTGTGCGGGCAAGATACATTCTGTATATAATAATAATAATAATAATAATGATAATTTTGTATCTCAGTAAAATTGGTAGGAAAAATACTCAGCACTTCCCTGGCAATCTTCCTTCTCTAAGTGAACTTGCACATAGACAGTCCCTCATAATTGTGCCCAAGGTTACTGATCCCCACCCCAATCTCCACTTTCCCAGCAGTCCCTGGGGTATGAATAGAAGGCAGTATGGCCCACCTTCGCTGGAGCGATAGCACAGTGGTAGGGCGTTCGCCTTACAAGCGGCCAACATGGCCGACCTGAGTTCGATTCCTCTGCCCCTCTCGGAGAGCCCGGCAAGCTACCGAGAGTATTCAATATGCCAAACACAGTAACAACAAAGTCTCCAATGGAGACGTTACTGGGCCCGCTCGAGCAATGGCCCACCTTGAGAAAAGTGCTTTTCTTCCCTTTTTGGTTGGTAGAAAAGTAAGTCAAAGAGTTTATAGGCAATAACTTGATTTCTATCCAATACATTTAGACACAGTCCTGCTTAGTGAATTCCTCAAGGACATGTGGAATGAAAACAATTCAGAAAAAATAAAAATACAAATAACACAAAAAACAGATCTCAGAGATAACTTTTACACCTTATTTTAGTTAGAAACTATTTTTAAAAGCAACTAAGAGATCTGAGAGATATTGTACAGTGGGTACATATTGTACATTTGCCTTCATGTGGCCTACCCAGGTTTAACTTCTGGCACTCCATATGGTCCCCTGAACTCTGCCAAGAGTGATACCAGAGTTCAAAGCCAGGAGTAAGCCCTGAGCTCTGCTGGGAATGCCCCCTAAATTTTTTTAAATAATAATTTATTAAAAGACAGCTAATGAGGTGCTGGAGCGATAGCACAGCCGGTAGGGCCGTGGCCGACCCGGGTTCGATTCCCAGCATCCCATATGGTCCCCCGAGCACCGCCAGGAGTTATTCCTGAGTGCATGAGCCAGGAGTAACCCGTGCATTGCAAGGTTACACCTGGCTCAAAAAACAAAAAAAGAAAAGGCCGCTAATGAAATCATTAACTGACACACTTTTTGCTTTAAACCTCTACACACTCATCAGTGAAACTATTCTCTTCAAAGAGCCTGAGCTTGGATCTTCACATTTAGTAGATGCTGGGTAAATACTAGACATTTTAAAAATGAAACTAGGCGGCCAGAGTGATAGTACAGCCAAAAGGGTGTTTGCCTTGCATGCAGCTGACCTGGGTTAGATCTTTGGCATCCCATATGGTCTCTTGAGCACCGCCAGGAGTAATTCCTGAGTTTAGAGCCAGTAGTAACCCCTGAGCATTATTTGGTGTGACCCAAAAAGCAAAGAAAAAAGAAAATAGTCAAATTCTAAATAAAATTGTCAGATTCTTATTTCATTTGTAATATCAAAACAAAGTCCAGTAATTCAACAACTCCAGCATAAAAATAAAGTTACATGTCCCTAGAGAGAGTACAGTGGGTAATGCGCTTGCCTTGCATATGGCCAACAAAACTTTGATCCCCAGCATCACACAGGGTCCCCCAAAGCTGCCAGGAATGATCTCTAAAAACAGGGTCAGGAGTAGGTGTTGAGCACAGTTAGGTATGACTCAAAACCAATAAAAACAACCCAGATACTATATATATATGTATATATTTACATATATATTTTTATGTGAGCAAAATAGAAGAAAATGAACAATTGACAAAACAATTGTTAACTGGGACAGACTTTTTAATTCAAATTTATGCAAGTTGGTTAACCTTGTTAGTGATTAAATAAAAGCATATTGTAATAAAAGGGGTTTTATTTACTGAGGTAGCTGACACAGATAATTGTGTCTGATAACACAATGTAGATTACAATATGGAGTGAAACACACATTTTGCAATATAAATATGATGAAATGAATGAAAACTCTTTGAGAGTCATTATATTTGCCAACACTAAAATGCACATCTCACGGTATCCAGCAATTTATCAGGTTGAACATTAAAGACTGTATCCCTATTTGGGCACAAAAGCAAACATACAAAGAAATCATAGAATATCCACATGATGATGGAAGAAACTCTGTTTCGTACAGTATACTGCCTTTTCCATACCACCAATCAAATGACAGATAAAAAAGTAATCATGCATGGCATACCATCCACTCACAATTACTCCAAAGTCCAATAACAGGAGCTGGTCAATAAAGAGCAAATGGCAAATACAATGGAATAGTGCACAGTTCACTAAAGAATAAAAGGCATGCACGCTTGCTCATATCGATGATGTGTATCACATGGACCCTATCTGGAAAGACGAACAGGAACGTGTTAACTCTTAACTGCGTCCTTGAAAAGGGAAGGCAAACTAGGTTCGGGAGCGGGGAACTTTTTTTTTCCTTTAGAAACTTACTTTGCACTCTCCACTATTTATAAATTAGTTTTATCACCCTTGTTTTTGCCCTTTCAATTAAAAAAATTAATCAACAACAACAACAATATTGAGAGAAGTTAGGACTCTGGACAAGTTGGGATGCTGTCCCCGCTACCCCTTTCGAGATACAGCCTTGAGCAAGCCCGTTGGAGGAAGAACGACATCGAATTCTATTCGATGCTGGCGCACAGGCGTTGAGTACGGCGTGTTCTGTAAGTCGGTTAATGTTCAATCCTGACAACAAATCAATGAGGTAGGCTTCCTCACCGTTATTTAGCAGATGAGAAGGACGAGTCCCAGATAACAAGTCATGACCTTATCCCTCTTTTTTATTTTCCAACCATCCCTGTTTTGAATTAGCTGTAACTTTACAGCAAACGCGCACACACAACACATACACACAGAGAAAGAGAGAGAGAGAGAGAGAGAGAGAGAGAGAGAGACAGAGACAGAGACAGAGAGACAGAGAGACAGAGAGACAGAGAGACAGAGAGAGAGAGAGCCTAGACCCCCACTCTGTTCAAAATGCTGGGAACAGGGAGTGACGTAAGAGGACTATGGTTCTAGGGTCCTAGTCGCTTCTGTGGCTGTGAAGGTGCAGTAACGCTATGCACCAAGAACCTTAACACTAATGCAACTAACCATGCCACCCAAACTTCAATTAGAAAACTTGAACTTTTAAAATGCACAGAACCCTTTTACTATAGAAACATGGATATAACTACGAACACTTTTGTGGTCGCTGCTGGGTTTGGGGCCAGAACCTGACCTTCGGTTCTCCTGCCAACTTTCTTTGCCCCGCCACGTGTGCAGAGATCTGCTACGTGATGGGCTGTTTCTTTCTTCTTTTTTTTTTTTTTTATAAAACTATACACTCATAGATGTTTTTGTGCCACCCCAAACAGGTTCGGAAGACTCCTCTGATGCAGAATTCCGGGTTTGCCTGCTAATGGGCTCAAGTTTTTCCTGTTTCCTCTCCCCAGAACCCAGGGAGAACTTGAAGGACCAGCGAGCGCGTCGTCGCTCACACCCCCGCCCCCGGAACTCGGGGTTCCGCGGGTGCCCAGCCGTGCCCGCCGCCGCCGCCGCGCCGCGGGGATGCCTCACCCGCCAGGCCAGGTCCAAGTCGAAGTCCCGGGCGCGCAGGAACCGCAGCAGGAAGGAGTCGGTGAGCTGCAGCGGCCCCGGCCCGGGCCCCAGCTCGGCCTTCTCGGCCCGGCGCCGCAGCTCGGCCAGGCTGGGCTGCAGCAGCGGCGAGTCGTCGGGCAGCGCGCTGAGCTGCAGCCCCGTCGGCCCCGGCTGTGCCTCTGCCATGCCCGCCGCAGCCTGCCCGCTGGCCGGGAAGAGTCCGGGCTCCTGGCCACCTCGGCCACTCCTCCGGGCCGCTGCCCAGCGCACGCCCACCCGCGAACTGAACTGGCCGTGTCAACGACACCCCGCGGCCTTTTCCCCGGGCGCCAAGCGTTTCTCAAAGTTCCAGGTGGTTCCCCCCCCCCCCCCCCCCCCTCCGCATCCGCAGTCTTTCCCCGTGAGACAAGAAACCCATCGCAACGTTTTGGGACCCCGCACTGATTGTGGTTAGTTGCTGCATTTTTAATAGTCTGCTTGGAGAACTTTCGTCCCCTGCCGTTCTCAGTTCTCCTCTCTCTCTCTCTCTCTCTCTCTCTCTCTCTCTCTCTCTCTCTCTCTCTCTCTCTCTCTCTCTCTCTCTCTCTCTCTCTCCTCCAGCGTCTCTCACCTCTCTCCTCTCTCTCTGTCTCTCTCTGACTTTGTCCTCAATTACTTTGTAGTTCTTTGTCTCTCCTCTCTTCTCTTCAATCTGTCTCTGCCTGGGTCTCTCCTATCCTCCCTCTTCCCCTCACCCATCTCTTCTCTCTTCTCCCTGTCTCTGTCTGTCCCTCTTCTCTCCTCTCTTCCCCTCCCCTCTCTTCTCCTCCCTGCCTACCTAGAAATTAACTGAACTGTCTTTCCCACTTAGTTCCATTACAGACACACTCCCCACCTCAAACAGTGCTTTATTTACAGGGCGTCCAAAATACACATTCTATTATGCCCTCTTATTAGACTGACAATTCTTCCCCTTCCTTTAAATCCAGACTAAATCCTCTTGGCATCTTACCCACTGGTGTCATGTGAAAATAAATTACAACCCAGCAACGTGGCCTTAGGGTCTTTTCTTATCTCTGCCCATTGCCACCATCTCAGAAGTGACCTCACTCCTAAGGTGAAATATGTGAAACTCCTTCTCATTGAATGTATACTTATGGACAGGCAAATGCTATAACTGGATAAACAAAACAGGTAGGAGTGGGGGAGAAGATTAGGCTAGAAGAGAGGTAGGCACCAGCATGGAGGGGTCTAGGCACTTTGTATATCATACATAAATTTTGCCACTGTTATAACTACTTAAACTACAATAAATTAAAATAATGGTAAAATTACAGTTCAGAGGATATCAAGTTAGCTTTTTCAAAACTCATTAAAAGAATTGTTATTACATGGCTGTGCCCATACTCCCTTCCAACTACTGAAGGCACAATCTATGAATGAAACAGACAGAAATCCTTGTCTTCAGGTAATTTTTATCCTTGTGCTGGGAGACAGACATTCACCAAGACAAATGACAATATGTGATCTCAGCCAAGGTCTGGAAAGAAGGTAAGTGCTCAACGACAGCTGAGGAGATAGTACAGCAGGCAGGGCTCTCGCCTTGCACAGGCTAACCTGAGTTCAGTCAGTCCCCAGCACGGCATATGATCCCAGAGCACCTCCAGGAGTGATCTTTGAGCACAGAGCCAGAAGTAAGCCCTGAGCACAGCCAGGTGTGTCCCAAAGCAAAATAGCAACAACAAAACAGATGAATAGATAAAGAAATTGTGTTATCTATACACAGAGGAGTACACAATGGAGCATAATTCAGCTATGAGAAAGATGAAATCTTGCAATTTACTACAACTTGGGTGGAATTGTTGAGTAAAGTGAGTCAGAAAGTAAAACAATGCCAGATAATCTCACTCATACAATGAATATAAAGAAACAAACAAAATTAGGATTTGACTATCTCCAGTGGCAATAAACCCTGCGGTTTATTTGTAGATCAGTAGAACTGGGGACTGAGGGAGTGCAGTGGCATGTAGGAGGAAGGGGCTATGGGATAATGGTGGAAGGATCTAGTGGTGAAGTTATTGATTATAACTGCTCTACAGCTAAAAAAATAACAGCTCCAAACATATTGTAAGCTATGATACCTCAATAATAATATAAGCATAAGTGTATATATGTATGTGTATGTATATATACACATATGAGAGAGAGAAAGAGAGGGGGGAGAGAGAGAGAGAGAGAGAGAGAGAGAGAGAGAGAGAAGGGGTATGAGGAAACAAATTTATAATGAGAAAAGCACCAAAACAGTATTTGAATAATTGAATTAATACCTAAAAAGGCAATGAAATTAGATATGTAGGGTGGAAAACTGTCAACTTTGACTTCTTTTTTGAGAAAGTTAGGAAGTATGTAGAGTAATTAACCAGACTCCATGGGTCTGGAAGATAGTGCAGGGGTTAAAGCTGGGTTTGCCTAGCTGGGTTTGATCTGGCACTACATGGTTCCCAGAGCACCACACCACCAAGAGCCAGACACCAAGCACTGTAGGGTATTGACCAATACATCCCAACCCCCATCAGAATTAAATCAGAATGAAAAGAGAGAATTTAATGAGAAAACTTTTCTGAATAAGGTAGAGATTCCAGGATCTGATTTTTACTCAGAGCAAGTTGGGAAGACTTAGAAGTAAAAATTTGCATTTCAGTGTGAAAAGCTAAGGTTGTAAAGTTAGTTGCCATCAGGCATTCAGTCTCTGCCAGGTCCCAATCCAAAACAGGGGTTGCTTTTTGAATGAAGAAGTGTTGTAAGCAGAACTAGGCATGATTTAAAAACCCTAGAAGTCTGCTCTGAGATCCTCTTCATGGCACATCGCCATGCAATAGACATTTGTAGACTGTCTGGACTAGTCAAAATACTTGACAATTAATGCCTACAAAGACTTTTCTTAAAGTTCCACTCACCACTGCCAGTATGAGAGCTGGATTTTAAATGAGCTGGAGAAACATACTCAGATGGAGTAAAATTTGCTTTCAACCTCTAATGATGGTAATCAAATTTTGTTCTTTGCAGGTGAACGAAATAGCATGTACAGCAACTGATATCTCACAAGAGTGGAATATCTCAACAATCCCCCCAAACTAAAGTGTCATCAATGTGGTAGAACCTAAACTAATATCTGTCCTTTGGCATGAAATATACTTATAGGCTAGGTCCTGCTCACCAACCCCAACTAGTATGCAACAGACCTACATTCTGAATATTTTCCATTTCCATCTCATGCACCCTCCACTCCATTCTCTGTGCCATGAAACTGATTGATTTCCACATTGTACCTCCTGCCCTCTGGATTCTAACTGGGTTTGGTCATACGATTTGAGGTCAGGAATTTATTCCCCTAGGTCACTCCCCATGGCATTGCAAAAGACTGGCAAATTCCTCAGTAGTAGAGCACACTGTTTTGCAGATAGCCCATTCTTTTTTTTTGGGGGGGGGTCATACCCAGAGATGTGTAGGGGTTCCTCCTGGCTCTGCACTGAGGAATTAGTCCTGGAGATGCTTGGAGGACCAGATGGGGTGTCGGGGATTGAACCTGGGACGGCAGTGTGCAAGGCAAATGCCCTACTCACTGTACTATTGCTCCGTCCCAGATAGCCCTTTCTTACTTCTTTAGCTGTCCTCTCTCAGTCTCTGTAACTACTCCCCTTTTGTCCATGCAAGTCTACATTTGCTTGGACTACTAATTCATGACTAGATCAATTGAGTAATAGAAATTCATATTTTGAGAAATCTCCAAACCATTTCTCCAAATGCAACTTTCCCACCAGCATTGAATGAAAGTTTTTTTTTTTAAAACATCTCATCACCAACACTTGTTTCTGGTCTTTTTCATATAGACCTGGGCGTGGGGGGTGGGGGGGAATATCTCACTGTAATGTTGATTTTATATTTCCCTGGTAATCCATAATGCACATTTTTTCATGTGCCTGTTGGCCAGATTTTTGTCTTCCTTGGCTGAATGACTGTTCATTTCTTCTCCCCAGTTTTTGTAGAATATATAATCCCATTCCTGGGCTTCTCTCCCAAGAACACAAAAACATTAATCCAAAAAGAGCATATGTATGCCTAAATTCTTCACACTACTATTTACAATAGCCAGTATTTGGAAACAACGTAACAACATATGATTGATTTAAAAAATATCACTTAATCACTTAACCACTTAACTTCCCGTTAGTCGTCGATTTGCTCGAGCGGGCGCCAGTAACGTCTCCATTTGTCCCTGTCGCGTGCTAGTGTAGCCCAATGGCATCTGTTCGCTCCGGGAACATGAAGGGCCTCAGACCAATCGTTCATGATCTTGACGAAGAAATCTGACCATCTGGTAGGTGGGCGGCCACGTGATCTTTTGACATCCCGTGGAATCCAGTCAGTAACAGCTCTGGTCCAACGGTCGTCTTTAAATCTCATTACATGACCAGCCCATCTGATTTTCGACACCTTGGCAAATGAGACAGCGTCCCTGATCCTTGATCGTCGACGGATGTCAGAACTCCGGATTCTTTCTCTCATTTGAGTGAAACGTGATATTCCAAGCATAGCTCTTTCTATTCTTCTTTGGGAGACCTGAATAGCGTTCTCATCTTGTTTGCGTAGGGCCCAGGTCTCTGAGGCATATGTTAATGCAGGAAGAACAGTGGAATCAAAGAGATGTGCTCGGAGCCGGAGGTTCTTCGTCCTCTTAGCTATTTCTTCGACGTTCTTGAAGGCGTTCCAAGCTGCTCTCTTCCTCCTGCGCAGCTCGGGTGCCAGGTCATTTTTCATGTTGACCTCTCGACCTAGGTACACATAGCTGTTGCATTCGGAGATGGTCGTTCCATTGAGAGCGAATGGGGAGTCAGGAACAAGGCTGTTTCTCATAAACATTGTCTTCATAAGATTCAACTGTAGTCCTACCTTTCCACACTCACGGTCAAAGTCGGCCAGCATTTGTGCCGCTTGGCTGATGTTTGGTGTTATTAAAACAATGTCATCAGCAAAGCGGAGGTGGTGTAGTTGCCGACCATCTATCTTCACTCCCATTCCTTCCCATTCCAGTCGTCGCATGATGTTCTCGAGGGTGGCACTGAAGAGTTTCGGTGAAATGGTATCGCCCTGCCGCACCCCTCTCTTGACATCAACGATCACTTCTTTGTAGAATGGTGAGATCCTGGTAGTGAATCCGCAATACAGCTCACGGAGGA